GTTTGCGGCTCTTCCAGGGATGATCAGTCTTGTTCCAAAGTCAAAATCTGGGTCCTATGCGATGCTTGTGCTTATCATGGAAGGCAAGTTTTGACTGCTGGTCGGCGTCATCAACTACAAGCTTCTGACAGGCATGATTGGTCTCGTTTTAAAAAGTCAAATTTTGGGCCTTATGCGATGAAGGAGCTTATATTGAAAGGAACTTTTGACTGCTGGTGGGCGCCATCAACTACAAGCGTCCGACAGGAATGGTGGGTCTGGTTCCGGAGTCAAAAGTTCGGCCGTTAGGAGCTGCAATGCTTTGATCTTGAAAGGAACTTTTGACCGCTCGGCTCAATAAACACAATATTCTCTGGAATTTTGCAGGGGATGGTCGACCTTGCCTACGAGTCAAAAGTTTTGTCAGGAAAGTCTGATAAGCTTATACTCATGAGGGAAGTTCTGACTCCTTTGCGCAATCATGCACAACATTCCTTGGAATTCTGCAAGGGATGGTCGACCTTGCCTACGGGTCAAAACTTTTGCCATGAAAGCCTGAGATGCTTTATCTTGAGGGGAAGTTTTGACTGGACCGCACAACCGCTCACACTATGCTTCAAGATTCTTGGTGGAATGGCCGACCTTGCCTATGAGTCAAAGCTTCTGCAACGAAGTTCCGAGATGCTTTATTCTGGGAGAAAGTTTTGACTCAGACCGCACAATCGCACAGAACGACCAAAAATGATGGGTGTAATCAGCGGCTTGGCAACGAGTCAAAACTTCTGTCTGGAGATTCATAGAAGCTTATACCCACGAGGGAAAATTGAAAGTCTGAGATGCTTATATTGGAAGGAAAGTTTTGACTGGTCGGCGCCATCAGTCACAGCGTGTCTCGGATCTAGAACGGAATGGCCGGCCTTGCCTGCGAGTCAAAAGTTGGGCCGTTAGGAGCTGCTATGCTCATACTGCGAGGGGAAGTTTTGACTGGTCAGCGCCATCAGTCACAGCGTGTCTCGGATCTAGAACGGAATGGCCGGCCTTGCGTGGGAGTCAAAAGTTGGGCCATTAGGAGCTGCTATGCTCATACTACGAGGGGAAGTTTTGACTGGTTTGCGTTGTCAGTCACAGAGCATTTCCCGGAGATGAAAGGATTGGTCGGACTTGGCTGCGGGTCAAAAGTTGAGCCGTGGAAAGCTGGTATGCTGATGCTACGAGGGCAACTTTTGGCTGCTGGTTGGCGGAGCGCCATCCATTACAAGCTTCTCGTAGGACCCGGATGGTCGGTCTTGTATCGAACTCAAAGCTTGGGGCCTGATGAAACTGAGAGGAACTGCCAATATGACCAGAGTGCTTGGATGAAACCGCTTTGAACTGATGCAATTCTAACGAGGCCCTTTTACTTGCAGGTATGGTCAAAAAGTGCAAATGCGTGACACAAAGAGCTCAAGTCTGAATCGTGCGCACACGGCATACTACAGAGCTCCACGAAGCAGTCCGATGGCCAGGGGACGTCTACCAGGCGCAAGGTCAGTCTTCACCAGCCACACATGGACACATCGGATACTTGCACTCGTCATCTGTAGCCTCCAGATACATGCAAACCTCGCCAATAGACCTTGCTTCAGCATGAATATCGACGTCGGCATCCGCTTCAGCTTCAGGGTCGACGGGGTGGAAGAGCAGGTCATGAAATTCAGCGACTATAGAGGCGAGGTCCTGATGCTCAAAGCCCCCCTTGCTCATGAATCTTCGGAACAGATGAGCCCAATTCAGGTTGGTCGTCTTGCAGCATCTGCACATCTCGCGAAGATGGCGGATGGTGAGATTTGCTGCATCGTAACTGAGGTCACTGCCCTTTCTCTTTGCAGGAAGACGGCATCTTCAACTTTTCCGGCACCAACCTCATCTCGCACGGCCTCCTCTTGCGCAACCACTTTGCGGCGGCCCTGGGGGCGGCCCACAGCCTCAACTTTGAGGCGGGGGACATGGCGACGAGGTGCCTCGAGGGGCCGAACGTCCCTACGCTGGACGACCGGGTGTTCGACTCGGCGATGCAGGCCTTCAACGACCTGGCGGCACGGTCTCAGATCCGTCACGTGTGCTCGCGCGTCGAGTGCGCGCACCTCTACACGGGCGAGGTGGAGGCGGCCGAGGCGTAGGCCCGAATGGCTGGCAAACCCCCGAGGCCGGAGCGAACGGAGGGGCCGAGCTCTGAGCTGGCCACGTACGCTTTTGGGCGGGACAAGGTCATCACCTTTGATGGGACATTCTTTGCCAACTCGAGCGCGATGCGAGACTCCGGCACGAAAGCGTCCTTGCACAGCATCTGCGAACCGGACCCGAAAGCGCCGAGGGTCTCTGGGGGCTTCACTCCTCTGAGCGTGGGCGGGGTACGACCTTCGGATGTGCCCTTGGAGGGAATCGACTGCCCCTGGAAGTATAGGAACGGGCTGTCAGAGCTTAGACCAGCGGTGCGAGCTTTTGCGCTGAGGTGGTGCAACTTTCGCAAGGCTCCAGCGCAAGGGAACAACGCGCCTCTGAAGCTGGAGGAGTTCGTCGCCATGCGAGAGGGGCTTCCGGCGAACGTCGCCGCTCTGATCGACCTCGTGACGGAGTCGGGAGCTTGTGGCGATCCTGCCACGTGTGCGATTTGCAAGGCGGTGCCGCGGCGACCATGGATGGCAGGGTTCCTCAAGGACGGGCCCGTGGGAGCGACCGGCTGGTGCCCGACGCACTTTCAGCCGTACGGAGCCCTCCTCCACGCGCTGCTCATCCCCCGCTACTCGTGGGTTTTTGGGCACGTGGTCACGCTAAAGCTGCTGAGACACGTGCTGTTGGAGGGCCCTCTTTACGAGCGCGGACTGGCGTACCTCTCGAACGACGGCCCCATGGTGGCGGCCATCTTGCGCCTCCACCCCGTTGCCGGGGGGCTGTATGCCTTCCCACCGACGCTCCGTCCGCTCGTGCGCGACATCTATGCCACGAACCTCCTTTGCTTCGAGCCGAGCGCAAACCGGCCCGGTCCGTCCTCGCGATCGCCTCTGGCCGCTCTCCATGATGCTACCGAGCATCTGTGGACAATCGAAGCCGAGAGGCTGAGGCTCATGGGCCAGCTTGAGGCGGTCGCAATGGAGTACGTGGAGCGGCGAGGGGCGGCACTCAAGAGGGTCGCCAACTCGCTCCTGTTTGAGCTGGAGGTTCGCGAACCCTCGTGCTACAGCGGCGAAGAGTTCCTTCGAGCGCCATCGGCCGCTTATGAGGAGCGGGTCGGCGCCGTTTCGGTCTACTCTTTTCACCCCCTGCTGTATGGGCGGCCGCAGTTCACGGATTGGGAGGACGCTTCGGGTCGCGGGAGAAAGGGTTCCGAGGAGCGGCTCATGCAGCACTGCAGTGCTCCAAACCGCCGCTCGTCAAAGGGGCGCGCTGGGGTGTTCATCGCATGCTGTCAGGATCGAGCGCCCTTGGGGTACCACTGGCTGAAGGGCGGTGAGAGCGTCTCGGACCTTGGGACGGTGCTCCTGACGCGGTTCCCTTTCAAGACGCTGCGGGGCATGACCATCGTGGAGGACGCCGCTTGCAACGCGCAGGAGTGGTTCTTGAACCGGGTGCCTCAACTGGCCAAGTTCATGCTGTTCGTCGTCGACCGCTTCCACTCGGGTCCCGTGAGCTGCGCACCGGCGGGGGCGAAGCGCTACGCGACGCATACGTGTGCGTCTACGCTTTTCATCGACTCCTTTCCGCAGCATGGCCACACAATCACAACCGCGTCGGAGGGCATCAATTCTGGGCTGAAGAGATGTGCAGCTAGCCTCCTGCAGATCACGAGCATCAAGAGGTTGATAAGCCGTGTGACGACCATCCTTGACACGCTTTTCGAACGGTCGAAGTATGCTGTCTATTGGAGCGAGGCTAGCAATCCGTTGAGAGACTTGATCAGGCGGGCGCGAGGCTGACGTGCGGCCTTATTCCTCTATTACTCATTACCCACCGTCTCAAGTTCCATTCTCTTTGTACATTTGTCATGTGGTGATGGAGGCTTTGCAAGAGGTTCCATATTCAAATAATCAATGGGTAATAGAGTAATAGGGTAACAGAGATGTGTGCTTGAGGCTTCTTCATGGGTACAGTCATGTGTGTGTGTGTGTGTTATAAGATAATGAAGGGGTAATAAGCTATTTGGTACTCAACGACTTCAGGAAGGTTTGTCTTTCTTGCTTTCTCGGGTCAATATGTGCCCCTCCTCATCCCTTCTCACCACCAACATATGACAGCTGGAGCAAGGGTAGAATCATGATGGAGCGATGCTGCTGATCTCCTGTATTACTCGTTACTCTATTACCACTGTCTCAAGTTCCATTCTCTTTTGTACATTTGTCATGTGGTGATGGGCTTTAGAAGAGGTTCCATATTCAAATAATCAATGGGTAATAGAGTAATAGAGTAATAGAGATGTGTGCTTGAGGCTTCTTCATGGGTACAGTCATGTGTGTGTGTGTGTGTGTTATAAGGTAATGAAGGGGTAATAAGCTATTTGGTACTCAACGACTTTAGGAAGATTTGACTTTCTTGCTTTCTCGAGTCAAACAATGTGCCCCTCCCCATCCCTTCTCACTACCCACTCATGATGATTCGAGCAAAACGAGCACTTTTGCTCTGCGGCGGATTGTCGCGACTCTTTTGACTCTTTTGAAGCATCAACAAGCTCCTGAAGAGCTTTGGAATCTGTCATCCATGGCCCTTCTTCATCCTCGGTATAGTCGAGCCGTTGCCAGGTGTCTACCCATTCCACAGTCGAGCTCATAAGCTTGCCTTTATGGAGAGCCTCGCAGATAGCGCCCTGTGGGGCAAACCACCATCCCTTATGGGTTCGAACCCCCTGAATGGAGCGTGCCTGCGGTCGCATATTGAAAACGGCATTGAGAGAGCGCATCAAGACGTTGACGCCGGTATGGCGGTCTTCTTTGATGTCCATCTGATGCAGGAGCGTGTCATAAGTCCGCTTGATGTCTGTCGATGCTACCCACGTCTCCAAAGAAGGGTGAAAGCACCCGTTCTCGAGCAGCGCTTGCATCATATTGACGTGGGGTGGAATGGAGTGTTCTTTAAGGCCTTCCCCCCAAGTTGTGACTGGCATCTTCTGAGAATTCCAATTGGATATTTCAATGGATGATAGATATCGATGGAGGTGATATGCGGTCTCGGGTTTCTCCAACTGCTCCACGAGCTCATCAAAGTATTGCTTGTTTCCCATCTTGGCATCTGAGACTTGCTGGCAAGAGTATCGGCGATCGTCTGCCTCTCGTTTGACAGACCAAAAGTTGTTTGTGGTGAAGACGATATTGCTTTTGTCATCCACGCTGATAGGGTCTTGGCCTTTGCGCTCCATACACGTCGTCTCCTGAGTGATTAGGGACTTTATCCGGTCGTTCATCCGATACGCTCCGCCCCAACTGCCACATTCGTCCAACACAATCAACAACCTGTTGGCTGCTAGTGAGTTGAATTTGCCAATGATCTTTTCGATTTCGTTGCAATACAAATAATATATGGCGCCAAGGATCATCCGTCCAAAAAAGTCCCACAATACAGACTTTCCGCACCCTTGCCCACTGCGAAACACGAGAGCGACACCAATCTTCCTCCAAGGCTTCTGAACGGCGTGCGCCATCCAACGAAGGTTGTAGTCAAACCGCTCCTTTGAGCCATCGCACAAGATGTTGCGGAGGTGCCACATGAGCTTTGGCATCTGTTCCTCGCACTTCACGAGCTCCGACTCCGTCAATCTGCGGTCGAGCGGTTTGAATTTCAGCCCGGAGAACAGATTGAAATGTCGTGATGACCCCTTTGACGGGTCCGGCTCGAATACGATTCGATCGTATTCCCGGCGTTTAGGACTGCTCTCCCAGAATCTGGCAACCTCCTTGCTTTTTCCAGGTAGGCTCTGGAGTTGGAAATTCCCGCAGACCTCCAAAAAGTTGCGGCCGGACCGAGCGATGGTCTCCTGGGGCTGAAGCTGCCCATTCTCGTCTCTCGAGTAGATCATTTCCAGATAAACAGCCTTTGTCGAGCGGACAACGGCAAAGTAATGGTTCATGATACGCAAATCGAGATCGAGCAAGTCCAGTTTTGCTTTCCTTGTTCGTACGTCATCTTCCTTTTTCTTCCTTTTCTCGTCGCTTTCATCCGTGGACGGCTCGAAGGGAAGAATGTAGCTCTCGCAAGTCTTGAAAAGTTCCCCTTCCGCTCTCAGAGGCAAACACTCGGGCCAAAAGTGAATGCCCAGCAGTTGCTTTGGTCGATCAATGCACCCTGGACTGAGACAGCGGTACACAAGAATGCATCCGTTGCTCATGATGCTAAACTGGTTCGAATCGTGTTGATGACCATTTAAGCAAGTTCGCGTGCCGTTTGTTTTGAACTTTAGGATCTGCCACCCATTAGGGGTCATTTCTCCAACACCGTTGAACGTGCCGGTGTCGTCTTGCACCTTATCACGCAGCAACCTCTTGATCTCTTGGAGCGCGCCTTCCAATCCGGGCAGGGCCTCCGTGTTTTGCACATTTCCAAGAGGTGCTGATGACATCGATGTTGAGTTCTCAATAACAGGTGAGGTGGCATTCGAGTCATTCTCACGTGACATGTGCTTATTTGATGTCTCAATCTTGTCTGTTGCGGTCTGTTGAACGTGATCGTTGAGAAACTTTGCAAGCCAGAGAGGCATGTCATGGCATGCATCAAAGCTTGGAGGCCCGTTGAGCCATTGGTATGTTGCAAGCTTTCCCTGATCCTTGACGTAGCTTGCGGGGTGAGCATAAACGACTCCTCCACCAGCTCGACCGTCAATTCTATAGACAGTGTTGCCAACCTTGATGGTCTCAAAGTTACGGGTGCATTTGAGGCCAGGCGAAGTCGCCTTGAAGTAGAAATGAAGCCCGCCAGAACCTGTTTGAGCTTTGAGTGTTTGGGGCTCGCCATGTTCCTTAACAAGACGGTTCCAGAGCTCGATTCCCGGCTTTTTGTTATCTTTGTTGGACACATCAATATCAATCACAAACACCCGACTGGGACGTGTCAGGATCGCGACTCCATTGGCGTCCTTCCTCTGCCGCATTGCTTCATCGATCGAATATTTCCACAATTCGGGCGTCGTGATGTGTGCGTACTTGTGTGGAAAGTCGGCACCTTTCGTACCCTCTTTTTCATTCCAGAACATGCGCACGGGAATTGCATAGAGCCCAACATTGGAGAGTCGTTGAATCTCGTCTGCAATGGCTCGGGGCCCTACGGGCCTGGGGACATGAGCGGCCTGAGGTTCTGAGAGGCTGGCCTGGGCGTCTGCCATTTCTTTGTACATTCTGACAAGATTTTAAATGAGGCGTTTCAAACGCGCGTGCGTTCGGTCTCGGGTCGCGCTGATTTTCTTACCATGATATTAGTACTCAGCATGGAGTCGCATAATGAAAGCGCTTTGAATGATTGCTGCACTTGCAAAGCGTGCGAAACTATCAAGCAATTTTATGAAAAGCATCCGGATGCTCGAAAGACTTACACAAAAAGGTACTACTACAAACATAGAGATGCAATCTTATTGGCCCAAGCCTTTGAGCGCTACAAGAACGGGCATGCATGTCAACAGAAGACTTTAAAGCGCCTTTTCGATGCCGGCTTTCCGGTGAAGATTCCGTTTAATGCATGGCAGCACGATGATCATCAAATGGCGTCTTTAGACACGTCAGATGTGATCAAAGTGCCCTCGCTCCATTTGGGCGCATTCACAGGGATCCAAGTGTCTTGAAGGCAGCTTCCCGGTGGCGAGCAAATTGTAAACCGTTCAAAACTGTATCCGAGTTCCATCAGGATTGAATTTCTTCTCATATGTCCGCTGTGCCATAGCTGCCGTGTGCAACATGCTCCGCGCGAGGTCGTCGCGCTCGGCAATGCTCGGAGCATCTTTAAAGAGGTTGCTGACGCAAATTTTGCGAAGGAGACACGAACCCACACTCGCGTCCTTAAAAAGGCCCGTGCTACAAAACTTGGTCAGATAGTTTCGACTCATCGGTTTGTCGGGCGACTTAATCTGAGACAAGAGGTATTTTCTGGGAAAGACCTGAAGGCTTTCGGCAATGACATTGTTGCATCGGGTCGACATGTCTATCGAAGTGGGTCCGTGGTGCTTGACGGTCTTATAATCGTTCAATACCAAACGAAACTGATCTTGTGCAATCTCTAAGAGATAGTTTCCGGAACCGGACATGATCTCACGTACCTCGGCCGTTTTGATGTCCTTCAAGCGCACAATGGGGCAATCGCTGTAGTCATTGCGGATTGCTGGTTGATAGCTATAAAGGCACAGTATGAGGTGGCGAAAAAGCACAAATTTGTCCTCATCGGTCAATTCTTCGGGCCTCTTGTGCAGGATCTTACGGTTCACGTGCCTTTGCAGCTCCACTCGGCGATCACTTATCTGATTGAGTGTCTTCCAATTGGCCGCTTCCCGCTCTGTCAGCTGCTGGGGAGGAGGCTTCGCATCTTCCATGAGCTTACGAACCTCTATGTACCGCTTGTAATAGGCATCATAGAGCTGTTTATCGTCGGAGAATGCTTTGCGCACTAGAACCAAGAGCGGATTGATCCCAGTGGCCTGCATTGACAGCTTTGTGGAATATGTTTCCTGAAAGTACTTGATGATTCCGTCGGCATCCTTGATCCAATCGAAGCTGGTGAAGTCTCGTTGTCTTTTGAACCCTTGAAACAAGCGCACGACATGCTTCATATATTGTTGAATCGTCAGGTCCTTTCGAGTACCATCCTCGAACGCCGAGCGCAGCAGCCTTTCTCCCTGGGTTACGGTGATTATGCGTCTCGTGGTTTCAACAGACCCTTGCATCTTTCACAATTTCTGGATACTCTCAAGAAAATTTTTGACCACCTCAAAGTCCCCAATTTCAGATACCATGAATGACTACGTTCAAAATCAATCTCACGAAATTGAGATGGGTAGCAGCTTTTAACGGTAAAAACGGTTATGAGTGCGTGTAAAAGCCGCCTAAAAAGCGAGATGGCCACTCAATTTTCAGCTGAAATTATACTGGCGCTGGATACTGTGACTGGAAGAATACAAAAATGAAAGATGGTGACTTTTGGCGCATTCATGTTATCTGGGCGACGTGATTTTAGAGACTTCGTTAGCAATTCGAGCTTTCAGCGGGTTCGCAAGCATCTCGAGTCCCAAAACTGGCTCGTTGCTGTCCCAGATTACGCTTGGGGTGCAACGTGGTGATTCAAAAGACGCATTGCTATCCGTGTATTGAGGCAAAGCCATCTTGCTTCCTCGATGCTCCGAGGTAGATCGCGATCGACGTTCAATGCGGCGGTTCTCATGATGAGCATATTTAGCATCTTTCAATGCTGTTCGCCAGCTTACAACTACGGAATATGGTCCATGGATTTCGAATTTGTCCCAGAAGGCGTCGAAGCCATCTTTTGAACGGGCACGAACCAGAGCTTTGGTTATATGCTTCAAATTATAGGGAGCAGCAAGTGCACGAAGGCCAGCAAGGGTGCCCACATCCAATATCGTATCATGCATGTTGAATTCCTTGTAGCAACGGATGATTCTAGTCTTGGCTGCGTTCAGAACCATTCTATCCATCTCTTCGATGGTTGCATTTGTTGATGGCCGGTATTTGAGAACAATATCCATACCTTGCTAAGGTTTCAATAAAAAAGTGGATAATCAAAGCGTTCTTCGAATTATGGTGTGACGCCCGCCCTAAATCGAGCGAGCGCCAAAAAGCCTGTTGTGGTAAGTCTCATGGGCACCGCCCTTCAAAAGTTCATGACCGAGTTTTGAGTACAATCTGGCAGATTGTGTCGTCAAAAGTAGGATCCGAGCATGCACCGGAGCCCTCAATCGGAATGCCCACAATCTCCACCGTAAAGCCTCACGGCCCGTAGTGACCCCTGCCTCGATTGATGCGATGCACTCTCGCCGCCATCCCCGACCCAGTGCGAACTGGTGCAAAAACGGTATGGTGTTTGATATCGCGTCCGACAAATCCGAGAGGAGTCTCACAATCCGCCAGGACAAATATGCCAATAGCGTAGGTGTCATACCCGTTCCCCGAATGCTTGCGAAGCACGAGCTCCTGGCTGGGTCGAAGCTTGCGAACGAGGTCTCGACGGCCTTCAAAGCTGACTCCAACGGCTCGAAATAGCATGCGTCCATCTGGAAGCTGCTCCATTGGAGGGTTGGCCCAAGGTTGGCCGGTGTATTCAGCCAAGCTCTCTCCTAAGTATGTATGCGACCCGCGAGCTTGAAGGATGAACAACTTCGAGCTATGTGCTAGATTATCACACCGACAAAGCGCTCGGCATGGTTGAGGGGGCGCCCGTCGACTTGCACCATCGTGATATACAAAGAAGCCTTCACAACAACGCAAATTGACGGCTCCGAGCCGTGCCGACCAGTCAAAACTTGCCTCCATAATATAAGCATATCAACTTCGAAAGGGACAATTTTTGACTCGCAGCGAAGGCCATCTTCGAAGCATTGTGAGTAATGGCGCCGACCACTCAAAAGTTGCCTCGGAGTGTAAGCTTATGAGCTTTCAAAGGCTTAACTTTTGACTCGCATGCAAATACGGCCATTCCACTACCAACGTGAGAAACGTTGTAAGTGATGGCGCCGACCAGTCAAAAGTTGCCTCGTAGTATAAGCATGTGAGCATTCAAAGGCTTAACTTTTGACTCGCATGCACGTACGGCCATCTCGCCCATGACCTTTGTTATACGTTGTAAGTGATGGCGCTGACCGGTCAAAACCCGCCTCGTAGTATAAGCATGTGAGCATTCAAAGGCTTAACTTTTGACTCGCATGCACGTATGGCCAGTCCACCCACAAGCTTTGGAAACATTGTAAGTGATGGCGCGGGCAGTCAAAAGTTGCCTCGTAGTATAAGCATGTGCGCATTTTAAAGGCTGAAGTTTTGACTTGCATGCACGTACGGCCATCTTGCTCATGATCTTTGACATACTATACGGTGTAAGTGATGGCGCGGACCAGTCAAAATCTGCCTCGTAGTATAAGCATGTGAGCATTCAAAGGCTGAAGTTTTGACTTGCATGCACGTAAGACCATTCGATGAAATCAAGATATCTTTAACAATGGTTGAAGTCATAGCGCCGGGAGTCAAGATCTGCTTCGCAGTATACTGAGGCATACCAGCCTCCAATGGTACAGCTTTTGACTCTGTCACTACGCAAGACAGAATTCATGCTGAAGTCGATGATCAAAGTGACTCGCAAAACAAGGACGCCAATTCTGCCCTCATAATGAATAACATTAAGAATTTTTGAGAGCTTTTGCGACAACTCTACTTGTTCTGGCCACCATCAGTAGCTACTCCTACGGCCGTATAACACAACCCTCTACCGGTAGTGTCGCCTCGTACTCATCAAGCCGACCGTACTTCTCTCGCACTTCCTGCCATAGCAACGGCTTGAAGAGGTGAGGCCGGCCAGCTACAAACTTCCCGTTCGACTTCTTCGGAGCGACGTGGTTGAGCCCGAGGCCTACGTGGAGAACCTTCTTGATGGCGTTGCGCTTCATCGTCGCCGTCAGACTCTCAGCCGTCTGGTCCATCCCGTAAAAGTCGCGAACGAAGCTGAGCCGTTCAGGCGTTGGCCCGAGCATCGTGTCGTGAATCGCTTGCAATGCATCCTCCTCGACCGCAAACCCGTCCTCTTTGCACCTTTCCACCTCCCCCGGCTGGCAGCCCAACAATTCTGCTGAAAGCATCACCGCAAAGGGAATCCGACGCGACATGTCGCCCCTGGCAGCGACGTACTCCTTCGTGACGCCCTCCATGTCCCCTTCCCTCAGGGCTCTCGTGAAGTCGTCCATGATGTCGGAGAAAGGGGTCGTTTGGAACCTGTCCAGGAGAGCCTTTGCAGAGTCATTAACTCCATACATCTTATGCCTTATGCAAGAGACACTTCTTTTTAAGGCAGGGAGAAGGCAGGGCAATGCAAGAGACACTTCTTTTCAAGCAGGGAGAAGGCAGGGCAAAGCTGAAGCAAGAACGACGTGCAAAGAGGCAATGCCCAGAAGCAACGATTGTTTGGAGCAAGGAGACGATCTCGCATTTGATTCGATAGAAGAAAGAACAGAGCAAAGCATAACCGAATCATCTAAGCTGATCAACCTAGCCGCAACTTGCTTGGATCTTCATAGTGTTTCCCGCTGACCTGATGTAGTTCTGGAACGGGACGAGCTCCTTTCCGCAGTGCACCACCTCGTAATTGTGGTCGACTCGACGGGGATCGACCTTGTGCACATTGCGGATGCACTCGTAGATGTGTCTCTGCCGCACCTCCACCTCGTCCAGGGTGTCAATTTCATCCTTCTCAAGGAGTTTGCGGTACGCCTCGTCATCGACCACATACCTGGCCCGCCAAACATCGTCGGCGAGGTCCTTGTCATCGTCGTTGCCAACTCTGCGCACCTGAACAGAGGGGGCTTCGTCGTCCAGATATACCTCATGGACGACGAAGCCCTGCTTGATGAGGTCAGCGCGCAAAAGCTCTCCGTAGTTCCGGAAGCTGTTGGCGACCGTGAGGATGTTGTTCGCGTACAGGACGCAGCCGGGGGAGTTCCTGTCGCAGACCGGCCGCGTTCCCGAGGGGGCCAGCAGGAAGTCGAGATGCTCGGTGCTGCCAAGCAGCTTGGCGAGCTCGCGATCTTCGTCTTCGATCGCGCAGAAAACGTCTTCCACGGTCGAGGGAAGCGACTGGGGGCCCGCGCCTTCCTTCACATAGATCGTGAAGTTGGTGACAGTGCGATCGCGGAAGAGCTGCTGGAGGAACGTCTCGACGGTTGGCCCCCGCTCGAAGCTGTTCATGGCGAAAGCAATGAGCTTGTCAAAGTGGGGCCGCTCTCACGAGATGCCGGGGCCGATCACGGGCGAGGAGGCGCACAGGTCTGCCGTCATGTGAGTGTCGGGATCGGTAACCGCCAGCTCGAGAGCGTCTTTTGCCGCTTTTGTCGTCGGTTTGGAGTAGAAGAACTTTCCCGACTTGGCAGTCCGGCCGTCGCTCGGGAAGCGCTGCTTGAAGGCTTCCTCGAGCTTCAGGACGTACGTCTTGCTAGACGAGGGCGCCTGCAAGGAGAAAAAGTGATGCCCCATTGGAACCAAAGTTGCGACCAGATTCTGAAACTTCTACAACGCAGTTCGAAGTAGAGGGGTAAGGCTCGAGTGTGATCGGAACGTGTAAAAGTGGAGCGCCCAAGAGTGCAGATGTATGTAACCTGCGTGTTTTCAATATTATTTGCTGACCACGGATCTCTCGGGTCAGTCTGTTATGAATCTCGTAATAACTAAGTTGACAGTCCTCACGTTCATTTTCTGAGAGCGTGATTCAAACTTGGGTCGGGGCGACAAGAAATTTCTCCTGCTGACGCAGCAGTCTATGGTTGATCCATTAGAAAAAGGATCGCGTGCTGCCACGTCAGCGGATTCTACCTCTTGAAGTTAGGGTGGCCGGGAAGAGCAGGGCAGTCTTGACGTTTGTGTTTTGAAAGCTTAAAGCAGATTCCGGTTGGGGCGACAAGAGATCTCCTTGCTTACACGACAATTTGAAACTGATTCCGTGCAGAAAGGAAACAGGCGGTGCCACGTCAGCTGACTCCAATTCTCGTTGATCTGGCCTGGAAGGGCAAGGCAGTCTTAACGTCCCATTCCACAGGCTGATCGATTCCAAAAAGATTCAATTGCTGCCACGTCAGGAGACTACAATCGAACTTCGATTCTAGCCCAGAAGACTCCGGGGAAGGTTTAACGTATATGTTGAAGAGCTTGCAGGATAAACACGGTGAAAAGAAGCACGCCCGGACCAAAACGCCACGTCACCAAACTCCAGGTCATCTCTTATTCCGGTCGGGAAGCACTGAACAGATACGACGTTCCTTTTTGGAGCTTGACACAGATTTGGGTCGGGGTTTCAGAGCTTTCCTTCTGCTAATGCGTCAGCTCAAGCAATTCGCCCGCCGTTTCAAGATAAGCAGAAAAAACGAAAAGAAGAGATCACCACGGACCAAGCACCGGCTGCCACGTCAAAGACTTTGATTTCGTTCAAGGTCTGTACGCGAGCTACCAAACACGACGTTCGTTCCTGAAGCTTCAAAGTTGCGTCCAGGTGTGAAAGGGTTTTCTTACTGACGAACTCACTATGACGTGCTCGCCTCTCTGCAGGGACTCCATCGTCTCAGCAATGGCCGGGCCGTAGGGGTCCTTTTGGAACCGCTTGGTCGCCGGGATGTACTTGATCGTGGCCTTCCGTTCACCCGGGTACACCCCGCGGTTGCGGATCGTGTGCAAGGCAGCTTCTGGCCGGACCATGTGCAGCCACTGCATGACCCGGGGGCTGCCGATGTTGGCGTCCATCCCGAGCACAATCTTGGCATGCCGCGTCACCCCTTCCAGCGCCAGAAAGACCATCTTCTTTCGGGCCATGACGTCCGAGTTCATGTTGGACAGGATCATGTCCATCTCGTCCATGATGACCACGTCAAAGCTGGCGGCCAGCCTGGGGAGGGAGTTTACGCAGACAACGACCCTGCCGTCGTCAATCCTTCCAGTCACATCGAGGTAGAGCGTCGCCTCGATGCCGCGCCGCGTCAGATCCTCCGCATATTTCCTGGCGAGTGTGACGTTTGCTGCGACCATGACGAAGTTTGCAAACGGAAATCTTTGCAGCAGCCTCTCTAGCCAGTCGTTCCCCTCCTTCGATTTGCCAATGCCCTTGTTGGCCGACGTCAGGATCGTTTTCCTGGCAGGGGAGTTGATGGAGAAGGGCGGATAGGGGCGCATGCCGTCCACCTTGACGTAGTCCTCCGTCCAGCCCGTGATTTGCCCCGTCTCCAAATGGAGCAGACGTGCGATTCCGCTGCAGAACGAGAGGGCACACGACACCTTATTTACAACTCTTTATGATCCAACGACCGTTCTAGCTCGAAGAAGAGGGATTCATAAACGGAAGGGATGGCCGGGCTTGGCTACAAGTCAAAAGTTCCGTCGTGAATACCTGGAATGCTTATACTCACAAGGGAGGTTTTGACTGGTTGACACTGTTAGTCGCAAAGGATAATCAAAGACGGAGTGGCGGGGCTTGGCTGTGAGTCAAAAAATCCGCCGTGGAAAGCTGCAATGATTATACTATGAGGGCAGGTTTTGACTGGTCGACGCCATTAGTCACAAAGTTTCACGAACAACAAGGGATTGGCCGAGCTTGACTACGAGTCAAAAGTTCCCCCGTGGAGAGCTGCAATGCTTATACTCTGAGAGGAAGTTTTGACTGGTCGGCATGTTGATCACAGAGGCTAGTCCCGAGACGAAAGGAATGGCCGGACTTAGGCTTCGAGTCGAAAGTTTAGCCGTCAGAAGCTGCTACCCTTATATCATGAGGGCAAGGCTTGACTGATTGACACACAAGTGGCGAACAGATCCTACATTCGACCCTGAGGTATCTTGCATCATCTCACGACGCTAGTGACGGAAGCTGATTTGAAAGCATAAACTACGGCGACTCGGTTCCGATCTCGACCTTCCAGCCTGGGGCCTCCGAAAACGTACTTCATGGGACCGTTGCTCGGAAGGTGGGAAATCAAATCAAAGTGATTCCCGTTGCCCGTGATGGCTCACCTGCAGGTGGCGGAGTGGCACTTGTAGAATGCCACCCCCGGCCGGGACCGGCGGTAGAGCAGGTACGTGTTGTTGTTGCCCGGGGACGTGTGCGGACGGCCAGCGAGGAGACATGTGGGCTCCGGCACGTCGAAGTGGACCGTGAAGACCCCCGAGCCGACGACGTGAACGCGCGCGAGCGTAGCGCCGGGGTGCTCCTGCTGATAGTACTCCACCAGCACGCGCTGCTCCTGCTCGCCCAGGTCCGCCCGATTCTGCCCGCCATCTTCCGGGAGGCCCGCATCTCTCACGCGCATCGTGGGGCGCTGCGGCCGCGACAACGTGGGGGCGTGCTGCTGGAGGTACGCCTCGAGGCGCGCCGCGTCTAGCTGGGCGCAGCACTGCAGCTCCGCAGCCGAATAAAGCCCCGCGAGGTGGTCCACGATGAGCTCCGAGCTGCCCTCGCTCGGCTCGAGGACGCGGTCGCTCCCCTTTTTGCTCGACCACAGCATACGCCAATTCTGGAACTTGGAGTAGACCGTGCCGTCCCAGATCAGCTTCGGGCGGCCCCGCTGATCCTCCGTCCAGACGAACTCGGCGCTGCGCGCCAGATGGGGGGGCGGGTTCTTCTGGAAGTGGTCGAACGCTTTTGCAAACAGGCTCCGCGCTCGGCTATCCTCCAGGTAAAACCCCTTGAGCACCCCGTGGACGCTGTACCTGAACCCCCCCGCGACTGCCCCATGCGCCGTGCTCTCCTCGAACCGGACCGCCTCTCCCAACACTCCCAGAACCGCCTCCAGAAACCCATCCCTCAGCCGCTCAAAGTGCTGCTTCCGCTCAGCAAAATCTGCATCCCGCGCCCCGACCGCCTCCTCGGAGTCGCCCGCGCACACGCTCAAAGGCACGTAGTAGTCCAGGCCGAAGTAGAGCAGCGAAGGTGTCTCTTCGAGCAGACACTCGTACCGGTGCTTCCTCTGGCCCCTGAGGCGTGCGCAGTAAGCCAGCAGCGCAGGGACGTCCGGGAAGCTGGTGAACATCTTCGCAGCGGAATCTCGCGCGGAGTCAGCGGCGACGACGATGCCGTGGCCGTGGAGGGTCTTCCAAGCCACGGCGAGATCCTTGGGGCCCCGGCCGGTCGGACTCTCCTTGCTCTTGAACCACTGCTGACCGTAGACCGCCGTCGTGTGCCTCTGCAGAGTTGGACAAATGCCATCAGGAAAATGTGCGGCTGATCGTGCGACTGATAGAGCTTCGGCTTTCAAGTGTGGTCCTCAAGCTCAGTGAGCCCGTGCAGAGTTGCAACGACAGATCTAAGTCAAACTCTCGGACTCAGATTGTCAACCAGGGGAGCGATAGTCGTCCGAAAGCAGGGATGGTATGCACAAGTGCTGCAAGAGAGACCCGTGTCTGCCCGTGCTTAATCCTCAGGCAGCGAGGTATTTCTCGGAGGAAATGAAGCATCTCCTTTCTATGCCGCTTTCATTTAGTGTTCTCGCAGCCGAGAAAAGGTCGATGTACACCAAACTCGAGTGCTCAAAAGACCATGTGGCCGCTTTAGACCAAAGGTAGATTACCGATTCGAAGTCGCGCACGCTCTCACCAGCAGACTGCCAACGGAGTCTTGATCTCTGGTTGGAGCTAGCTCGGTCGTATCCTGCCTGGCCTCCAACCCCATTTCCTGCACGCAAACGCAGACCTTTATGAGCACGTGCGCAAAAGACGGACCTGGAGATCCTCTCGTCCGCGGCGTCGAAACTAGACAACGCCCAGCAGTACAAGCGTGCAACTTTCCGATTGCGGACGATGTGATGCAAAAGCAAGGGCGGCCATCACACCTGGCAGCGCGCTGACCAGCAGCCAGGCTGATCTTGATTTCATCTGGCATGCTTGCCGAATTTAACGACCAGATCCGATCGGTCTGGTCGACATTTGGACGAACAGCGCGACTTCTTGTCGCACGCAAGACCTTTGGAATAGCTTCCAACATCATTCAGTAAGAGTGATCCTCTCTGAGAGTTGGGACATGAAATCCGGATGCTTACCTGTACAATCGGAGCCCCGCCCACAGGATGATGCTCGGCAAGCTCCCCGGCGGGAGGCTCCGGGTTCTCCTCGGGCGCATCCTGACAATAGACTCTTGCCGCGTGAAGTTCCTGGGCACATGCACATGATGACATGATTGAAAGAGTGGAGCCTGCAAAAACCCTAATCATGAAGATATTGTTTGTGAACCAACTTTCAGAAGAGGAGAAGCGGGCGCGCGCCTCCGCGAATCGCGCTCCAGAGGCCCGGCACTTCCTACTAGACATGAGAACCGGGTTCTGAAGTGCTCGAGTTGAACCAGAGGTGTTGCTTCTCACCCCTCACTGATTGCACACACGCAGCTGGCACCGGACTTCTCTTTCGAAGGCAATATTACACGTGTGGCAGCGCCCGAGTTGTAATGCAGCTTACCGTTTCGCACGGGCTTCCGGTCCTCTAGAACCGGAGGGCGCTGGGGAGCTCTCCCTGCTCGAGGAGGCCCTTTTTCTGTCCGCGACCTCCTGCACACAAGAACCAGGCGCTCGCTCGATTCAAGAAGGGTGTCACACAGGCTTAGGGGGAACGCTTTGGCACTCCAAGGGCATCGGAATCATGGGCTACGACACCAGATCATGGCCGCTTCGCCTTTTCTCGCTCTCTGACCGCCGAAGAGTGCGCGATTTTGGAAGCAGTGCACGACCACCGCCACGAGGACGACCTGGAGCTACCTTATGCGGCTAACGAGGAGCGCCCGGTCACCATCGAGCGAGAGGTGATCAAGCCCTTGTACGTGGGCGAGGGCTTCGACTACCTCACGAGAAAGTACCCCTCCTTCTATTGCCAGTGGACGGTCTCACCCAACAAGCGCGCTCTACTTTGGGACAAGGGGGAGAAGTTTTACAGTTATGTGGGCTGGCTCGAGTACCTCATCTCCCACATTTTTGAGGTATGGGGGTTACAGCTCAGCGGGACCATCACATGGAAGGGGACGAATCGGGGCGACAGGGGTTCGATCACGGTCGAGGGCAACAAGATCATGGTCAAGATGCCTCTGGCCCGAGTGGACTCACCGTAGGTGCCGGCTCTGTAGCACCGGGATGGGGGCCGCTCGCAGGATGCGGGTCGCTGCTGGCGGGGCCCGGGTCCTGCAAGTGCGCAAGGGACTTTGTGAAGAGCCATCAATCGGGACGCTCTAAATGAAGCAGCGTTCATTCTCGCCGCCAGCAGTCAAAAGTTCCTCTCAGTATAAGCACGCTCTTCGTAAACAGGCCCCGAGTTTTGACTCCGAGATGAGGTCAACCATCCTTGTTTGAGAAGCTTGCGATTGATGGCGCCGCCCGGCAGTCAAAAGTTCCTTTCACAATAAGCACGTTTATTGCACAAGGCCCAAGGTTTTTGACTCTGACATGAGACCGCCAGACTATCCCACTCAAGCGTTTGAACAAAAGCGCAGGTCAGTCAAAACTTGCCTCTCAGTCTAAGCATATCAGCTTTCAGTGGCGCACCTTTTGACTTGCAGGCAAGTCCGTCCATCCTGTCCACTACTGTTGAAGCTTGAGCCGGGACCAACGAGGAGCGTATGCGACCCAGAACTCGGTGCTCACCCGACTGATAGTCTGGGGTCGCAGACGCGGCACGATCATGCACAGATTTGTAAACTCCTCCCCAAAGTCCGATTCGTCGAAGCCGCCATCGTCTTCGGGTTCTAGCGGACCGTCGGAGCTAGCGCTGGCGTCAGGCACGAGCACATCGCCCCCCGGGTGCTGCACCTCCTCCTCCGACCCAGCAGCACCGCTCCGCCTTGCCGAAACGCTGCCGTTCTCACCCGAGGACTCCGATGATGGGAGCAGCACCCGACGGCGCCGCCTGGTTTGTGGAGAGGGGGTTGCCTCATCACAAACCCGCCGCTTTCGGAGCTGCTGATGAGCCTGGGCAGCCGCCCACCGCCCGTTGCTTGCGGAAGAACCCTGCGAAGGGCTGCCCTCCTCGGCTGAGCACTTCGACCGGAGAGGCAGGAGACGGGCTCCCGGCTTGAAGCCCTGAGCCTGAAGCTGAGAAACGTCCAACTCGGAGTCGGATTCCCTGGCGGCACGAAACCTGCCTTGCGCAACCACCGGATTCTCTTCGTCTTGACTTCCGTCGTCGATCATGAGGCGATCTTGGGATGTCTCCACGTCCCCAGATTCGCCCACGCTCTCAAACTCCGCCCCCTCAATGTCCTCGCCTTCTTCTTCAGATCCTGATCGCCCAAACCCGGACTCACTGGCCGCACTCGTCGCCGACCGCTGGTTGCCGCCGCTTTTCTGGACGAAGGATGGGCCTTTTGTCAGAAATTAATCAAGAGACGTCTTCTGCAAATCAGCGCCGAGGGCATCCCGTGGAAGCAAGGCAGGCCGTCATCACGAATTGTTGACGTGGTCCAAAAGCTTCAGATAGAACCTCAAATGTTTCTTGCAGCGCGTGGACTCTGACCATCTGGAGCCAACCCAATCTGAAAAGGTCTCGCTAAAGAGACATGCGAGGAACAACGAACGAGTTCAACACATTCCTTGCTGGGAACGCATCACAACCACTCAAAATCTCAGCAACACTAGCATTGCCGAATCGCAGTTCTGGCCCTTGAAGCAGATCTCAAACGAACCGCTTTCGAGATGCGTACAACTTATACAGCTTGAACGAGCTCAGATCAATCCATAGTTCTCACCTCTGCTGTGGCGCCGCAACCCTTGACTGCAGCGCCAGCTGTCTCTCCCAATGAAGTGGACAGCCGGTCCTCTTCGTCTGCTCTGTTGTCTTCCACCTTGAAAGACGATGAGTGACATTCGATCAGAACATGCGGAGCACATTCTTACCACAATTTCAATAAGCATACAACCAGCGTATGCAAACCAGTGTCGCAGCACTCCACCCTACTCACAGTCTTAAAATACGAAGTGCAATGCAAAGCAAACGAACGTCGCCAATGCGCAACAGATGATCAATGCAAAAGGCTGGCCCTCACATATCATCCAAGGTGATAATGAAGACCTACTTTGGCACAATTTGCAGCACGACATTTTTCGAAAGCCAGCCCCTCGAGTCGCCTTAAAGACTCGGAATGCTTTGACTTCGTTAGTCGAGACGAAATGCATCCGTGGCAGCTTCCGATCGTGGTGCTAGAGCAAAGATACACATCTTACCAGGGCAGTCAGGAGGCCGTCTTCTATCCTGTCCAAATGACTGAGCTCTCTCTGGAGCAATTCCGCGTCCGCCCTCGGCATCTCTTCCGGGAACTCGGGCCTTTCGATGCCCCCTGTCACCACGCGGTCAGATGCTCGAGAGGCAATGCCTCCCTTCGAATCTGCAGGGCTGGGGTCCACCTGGAAAATGGAGAGGTGAACGGGTCAACTTACACGCATGAGCAGGTGCTCTGAGGAGTCACCGCGCAGCTTTCTCGTTGGCACAGTTGTGGCAAAACTACTGTCCCTATCAATTGACTTGCAAAAACGCGATACCCATGTTTCCTGCAACAGCGATGAGTGGCCTGGGACGAGCATTGGAAACGTCTTCGATCACTGGATCATGGGCGCCTTAACTGTTATGCGACAAGTGTTAAGTGCTTACCTGCTCGTAAAGCTTCCCATTCTTCTGCCACTTCTCAAACTCCTCAGGAACAGCGCGCTGACCACATGCCGGCCGCCAGCTCTGTTCGACGTCCTGCACAACGGCCTCTCTTCTTACCATCAGGTTTCGTCTGTGGGTTACGAGTTCAGATGACGCTACCATTCCAAAAGCAGAAAGAAGTGATGCGACCGCAGAACGGTCTGACAGGCTCAAGCAAAGCTTTGAAGCAAAGCACTGCACTCGTTGTTGTAAACTATCACAGAGCCGTGCTACGAGTTGTTGAGTCAGCATGGGCTCGTCCTCACCTCTCGAGAGGGCAAATTCACAAGCTGACGGCAAGGGCTGACATCAGGTGCAGGTGCGTCCTTATTCTCGTTTCCCTGTGATTGGAGCGCTGGCCCAGGATTGCTTTCGACGCCGCCGATCAGCAGAAGCTTTGCTGCAAAATGAATGCCAATGATGGACAAGCGAGCCAAACCGACAGTTCAGGTCATGAAAGAAGCAGATGGCGTGCACGCCTCTGTTGACGGACCACACCTTGTCAATAATAATAAAGAAACCCACTCTCAGCACTTTAAGGCCATGTGCAATGTGTGGTCCAGCAGACTGTCAGACCGGCTATCCGGTCACACTCTTTTCGGCCAAACAGAAGAAGGGCAGCTACAAGCAGCCCGCACCTATTTGATAGAGTGACTCACCATTGAGGAGCTTGCTCTTGGGGGTCGCATCCCACCTGAAGTTGTCATGCTGATATCCGTCGCATGCTGTGGAAGATAGGCAAACATATTGAGTTGGCACGTGAGTAGGCAAGGTTTGGTTTCAAGCTCGACAGGATTCTCTTTGAGAGACATCGTAGAGGTGGGGTTTCAGGATTAGGAGAGACCAAGCAAAGTACAAGCAGCAGAACAGTCCATTGGGAGTAAGATTGTGCAATGAGTCCGGGATCAACAAGCAAGAGTCAGCTTGCTCTTTGCCCGAGAAAACCTCACCATGCCTACTCCCGAGCTCTGCCTCCTCGTCAAGCGCCCGCGCTAGCTCTTTCTTCAACTTGAAAGCTTCACAGACACGTGCCCACTCTGGAAAAAAGGCACGATGCACATGTCTTTGCGATAAGCGCTTACATGCAGGAGAGTCGTTGGCTTGTCGACGACAGCCAGCATGCCTGCTCAGTCTCAAGATTTGCATTTGCAAACTTGCATGGTTGGACCAGGCAAGCTCTTTGCCAAATGATTGACGGCGCGCCGACACAGCGGTAGCCGCATAGAACTCACCTGCCCGGGCCTTCTCAATCTGGAAGCAGCGAGTTCTGACTGGGCGATGCGCACCGCAGAAGCACTTGAGGTTGCCCCCTTCCTTGCCTCCACGCAGCGCATAGGTCGCGGGGTTGCTGCATTCTCCGCAAAGGAGACCGTGTGGAACTGGAAGGGAAAGCACAAACAGTCGAAACCAGTTCGGAAAGCGTCACGCATGTAAAGTCCTGGTTGATTCATGCGTACCTTCTCATATATCCCCGGCCATACACACAAGAGTCTTGTACAGTTGCAAACTCCTAGACCTAAGGCTCAGATGCCCTCCCCCAAAGCGCTGACTCCGACTCCCGCAAGGCCCTATTAAGGTGCTTCATCAAGATGGCCCTATTAAGGTGCTGCTGCTCACCCTTGGCCCCAAAGAGGTAGCTGGCCAGTAGCTCCTTTGCTTTCCTCGCTTTCCTGGAAGCGCCACCAGCTGGGGGGCGGGCCTGGCTCGTTGCCGCTGGGCTCGCGGCCGCCGGGCTTGCGGCAGTCCTGTGAGCTCCACGGGAGGCGCTTGCTGGTCGCTGCAGCCCCTCCATGTGGGCCTGCCTGATCGACGTCAAGACCTTCTCGAAGCCCTCTTGCAGGCCCGCGTCTGCAGTGCCCGCCAGCGCCTGGAGACCAGCCATCGCGGCATGCAGGCTCCCATCCCAGGCAGCCTTCGACCAGAGGAGGCCTGCAGACCCGAGCTCCTCTCGAGCGCGCTGGCACAGGGTTCCCGCCACCTTCCGGAAGATGCGGTGGCCTCTCTTGGAGTAGGTGAGGAAGCCTCTGGCCGCGCTCGCCACGAGCGCTCTGATGGCCGCCGGCGGGAGAGCATCATCGCGGGGTGGGCCGCATGTGTCCTGCAAGGAAGCCAAGGGGGCACGATGCGTCAGACCTCATGTCATCTCGAAGGAGCGAGCAGACACTTCTTCATCGGGTGAAAGCCAGTGCACAACTCTGATGAGAAGTGCGGTTGAGGGCAGAATCGGGCCAAGGCCATTCAACCCATCATCCTGAGCATTGAGACCGACCAGTCAAAACTTTCCCTTAAAGTATAAGCATTCCAGATTTTCACGACAAAACTTTTGACTCCCGCCCTGGCCCTCATCCTAACAGTACTGTAAGGGTTAGCGATGGGGCCAGTCAAATTTTGCCCCATGAATATAAGCATTCCAACCTTTGAAGGCAGGACTTTTGACTCGCATAGCTCCCAAGCCAATCCAAACCGGGATCCTGAACAAGCGGGAGCGCCCACCAGTCAAAACTTCCCTGAAGAGTATAAGCATTCCAGACTTTCACGACAGAATTTTTGACTCCCGCCCTGGCCCACGCGTTGTGAGAGGTAGCGCTTGGGGCCGTCAAAATGTGCTCCATGAATATAAGCATTCCGGACTTTCAGGCAAAGTTTTTGACTTGCAGTCAACCTGGCCATTTATCCCATGATCCTGAAGATCTTGTTAGCGGCATTCAAGACGCTGGCCTTACCCCAGTCCTCGCAGGACCAGCTTTTATCTCCGCGCCACTGTTCGCGCCGTAAACCACCTCATGCATGGGGTGGGGCGGGGGGGTGCTCGAGTTGGGTGCGGCAGCAGATGAGCGCGTTGCTCCACTTCCCCCCTGCATAGGGAGAGTTCGAGATGACGACAGGGGAGGCACATGTGTCTCTGCTGCTGTCTGGCTGTGTGTCTGGCACGCAAAGCACTGGTCTACGCACTTGAGCTTCCAAGCCAGAGCAAACTGTCGAGTCTGTGCGCCATGAACCTCACAAGAACCTCAGAAAAGTGCGCGGGGGGGCTGACAAGCTGCACCAGCTGGTCTAAGCATTCTAGCCTCCAAGCCAATGCAGATTGTCCAGTCTTTGCACCATGAAGCACAGAGGAAGCTGGGAAAGTGCCTCGCGGGGCCTGACAATCTGCACCAGCTGGTTTCGGCATTGAGCCTCCAAGCCAATGCAAATTGTCGGAGCTTTGCTCTGCTGACTGCAGAAGGACCAAGGAAAGTGCCTGGCAGAAGTTCGCAGTTTGCACCAGCTGGTCTACGTAGCTGGTGCATGTATTTTAGCTCCAAAAGTTGGTCTGTTAGATATGAGCTTCGATTGGTCTGTTCCACATGACTTGACTGTGTGGACCTCGCACGCATTGGATATTTGAGCCATCAGCGTTGATGAGCTCACCCCAATGGAAGGCGGTGATCCAGCAGGACGAGTGCCTTCCTTGCCATCAGACAGCGAGGCTGCCGGCCCCTGCTGTTGTGGTGTGGTACTCTCTGCCATCTGCTGCAAGAAATGACCAGACAACACTCAGAGATCCCTCAAGGTTTGAGGACACATTGACGAGCAGTTGCTGACAGGAGAGGATTGAGGTAGGCCATCAGCTGAGATCAGTCCTGCTTTCAAAGCACAATCCTGCGAGCCAGCAGGTGTGCAGGCCACCCAGCTGCAAAAGCCTATTAATTTGGGCGCAAGGGCTTACCTTGAAAGTTGAAGCGCAGCGCGGCTGTCCACACACTCTGCTGTCGTCGCTGAGCGATCAACCTGCACCAAGGCCATGAAACAATATTTGCATGCATGCATGCGGGCATGCAAGATGTATTGTCGGATGTGCCAAGGCATTTAAATGTTGCTAATTGCCAACACAATTGCACGCTGATGCTGCTGATGCAATAGGCATGCCTGGTCATGCTTCAACATGCCCAACAGCCTCCTTTTGCGAGCGCACAAAATCCAGAAACATCCACTTGAAGCAGACAGCAAAGGCCCTCAGGATTGTCAGAAAGAATGAGAGGCAAGCTGCTCTTACCTGGGCATGCCCAGACGCCTGCGTGCACGACGCGCTGACCGCGGACTGCCAGCTTCTGAGCTCGCTCCAGAGCTCCCTCCAGAAATGGACCCTTTGCTGTTTGGAGAAATGAAGTTGGGGACCATTGCACCCCATCAAAACAAGCTCATTGGGCTGCCAAAGGATGCCAGAGAGCGCCATCGGGTGCCGCCGCCAACTGTGCCAAGTCATCAATTGCTGAATCAATGCTGACTCAAAGAAGCATCTTCTTGCTTCTAGAAGGACACCTGGCAGCAAATCCAGCGTTTTCAAGCTCCGCCGCGGGGCGCCAAAAGACGCCAGACCTTGCCAATGCCACCTGTCCCAGATGACCTGGCTGCTGAGTCACCTCTGGAACTCTCTCGAACGAAGCTCAAGGAAAGATAATGCCAGCATTCAATCAGCACTTGAAAGCTGATACGCGCCGTGATGCGCCGCCATGACTCACTCACACGAGCTCAAGGCTGGAGAAAACTCTACGATCAACCCTGGCTGCTACCCTTGCTTTAAGAGCCTCAGTCTGTCTGCTTGAATATGCAGAGAACTCGGACTTCAACTGGGTGGGAACGGTCTGCAACAGCGTGGTAATGGTGAGCCGGCCCACAGAGCTAGGTGCCAGGCCCTAATGGGCAGATAGCCATGCGAAGGGCCGGCGGAGTTGGGTGGGAATGTAAGGGACACGTGCGCCAACTGTGCTGCTTGCGGCCGACTCTGGCACGCAGGCCTAACGGAGTGCGTCAGGGTTTCAAGGTTTTAAAATCCTGTGCACTGAGTCTTCAAGCGACCGTCGGCGACCGTCCCTAGCCGTCGCAGATTCATCGCACGGCCGAAAACTGCTGTGCGCGAGCAATTTGCAGCCACAGGTTAGTTAGGTACCCGACCCACGATTGATCACTCCAGCGGGGTTACCAAGGTCCGGGATCAGCAGTGCGAAATTAAGTCTCAGGTCTCTCGTCTCCTTGTCATTTGTATTGCTTCAAGTGCATTATTGCAGCTGGAACTAGTCATATTCAATCATTGAATGACGAGTTCATGGCCGCACGTCGGCATCTAATTGCATGCCACTGCATGCGCAATCGGCACTAAGCTGCTTGGCGGCTTCTTGCGGCAGCTTCTCGCTGGTCGGAACGACGAGGACTGATGTCCTGAAATTGCAAAGCTGCGCGGTTGGCATCTTAACTGCATTATTGCAGCTGGAACTAGTCATATTAAATCATTGAAAGACGAGCTCATGGCCGCACAGCGGCGTCTAATTGCATGCCATTGCATGCGCAATCGGCAGCTGCGTGGCGGCTTCTTGCGGCAGCTTCTCGCTGATCGGAACGACGAGGACTGATGTCCTGGAATTGCAAAGCTGCGCAGTTGGCATCTTACAAGTTCTCAACCCATGAGAACGTTTCAACACAGATAAGACGAAGCTAGGGCGAGACACGGGTGCACGGCACATGCAATGGTTAAAAGTTTGACGTTCATCATGGGCCGTTAAAGTCTGGAGTGCCACTAACAACGTTGAGATAAAGGAGGATAGATGCGAACAAGCCGCTCTGGTTTAAGATGTGGAAGCAAGCAAGCGAAGAACCATGTTCAATCATGACGTCCAATATCACTATGTTCAATCTTTTCTCAATTTGACTTGAATTACCAAGGTCGGCAAGCTTTGGACTGATGTGATAGGAGCATATAGTGCCACAGATGCCTAGTAGCCAAATACAATGATCAATTGCATGCACAATAATTGTACGCAATTCATGATGGAGATGCTTTGGATTGTGTGGAAAGTAATACTAGCAAGAATTAAGCCTTTCCACTAATGTCATATCAAACAAAGAGTATTTGTAATAGAATCACCCCCGGAATTGCTCACAAATGGAGTCTGAGTATCAAAGCGGCAATCAGGGATTGAAAAGGCATTTGATTTGAGTATCCCCCAGCGAAGGCCCCAATGTTGCGCGCAACACCGAATCCATTAGAAGGGAAGCTTATGGGGTCTGGGGTTGGGTGTGACCCCAGGAAAGGCCCCACCCTACCCTACACACAACTTTAAAGGGAGCGGGAGAATGCACGGTCGCGATCGGAGGGGCTTAACAAGTCTCGCTAGTACCAAACTATCTCCCCCCCCGCTTCCACTTGTCCACCAGTCCTAGCTGTGAATCTAGCGCGCCGAACGCCACTTCAGCGTGCGTGTGTGCAACAATCTGTACAGATCCTGCTTGCGCTCGTGTGCTCCCCAACTGCGCTGGCTTCTGCTTAGTGTGCGGAGAAACCCCATTCGTGATGAGATCACCTGGCACGACGTAGCAGAACGTCACCTTCACAGACTCGAGCTCCGCGTCGCCCAGCCACGGCTTGATGTTGCTAATATGCATCGCCGTTTGGCTCGAGTGACCATGCTCCTCCGCCGACTGCAGCGTCACTTGGACTTTCGTGAGCCGATCAACGGACCCTGCAGAAGGCGCGAACGAGACAAGATCACAAACGTCAGCAATTTCCTGAAGAACTTCGGATTGCAGCCACATCAACAATCTCGACACAGCACTTTTGAGGCATCCGCGACGATTCTGTAATCGGTTTGCTTATTCTGCCATAATTCAACCTAATCTTTGCTGACAACGTGCTTGGTGTCAGACGTCAGGGCCATGTCCCGAATTACCTTGCGTTACGCTGGATTAGGCGTGAATGACGGCAGTTGAGCGAGGCTTCTACCCAAACCCTACGTGTAACTCCCAAACGCAGGTCTTCACTGCCCACCGAATACTCTGGCCGGTACGTGCTTCCGGATTTTAAAGAGCACGCTATTTGAAACCCAGTGCAAGCAGACCACTGACCAGTTCGCTAGCAGCCAGCCCGTAGAAAAGGGAAATCAAGCTCCGGTGACATCACTATCAGCTCCTTGCCAAATATTAGCCAAAGTTCGCCTAAGGTTTGCGGCTAAAAATCTGCCACAACAGTCACAGATGTCCCAAATTCGCTGTATCTAGCAACATCGAAGACCTTGTGTAGGCAGTCACGAAGCTGCTCTAATATCAAACTACCTACAAACCGTCGATAACAAATCAGCAACACTTTAGCCTTCGGACAGGCACGTGGTAGTACCACTGTATTATATGAACTGGACGCCAATAGCGAGTCAGCTGCATTAAAAGAAGCTCATGACTCCGGATGCTCACCAAGCTCCTGCCCACGCCTCTTGAGCACCAGGATGGCCATATCCATGGCGGGGTAGAATGGCGTCCGAGGCACAAAGCAGACAATGCGCGCCCCCAGTCCGCTCTTCTGAAAGTCCGTGATTTCGGTCAGGACAGCAGGGGCCTCTGCGCCGCGCTCAAAGAACACCAGCTTGACCTGCTCCTCCTTCGAGTCCTGAAGCACTGCCTTGTAGCCCCCCCCGTCGACGATCGCACCTATGGCACAGCGCTCCGCAAGCAGTCCAGCTACCGCAGGTACCCGCTCCCCCTCAAGCTCGGACCTCAGAGTGGCCCAGACTGCCACATCACTGTAGAAGACAGCGCGCCCTTGCACCTGCTCCACGAAGTGCGCGATCGCCTCTCGCACTAGCGGAAACGCTGGCCGCACTCTGCCCCCCTCCACCGCCACATTCCGCAAATCGATTTCGTCCCAATCAGTGAGATCGAAAGCGACAAACGACTCGTTGTAAACCATCTTCTTCATTTGGCGGATCCACTTCTCAACTTTTTCCCCCCCCTTCGCTTTGACCTTCTCGTAGATTCGCTCGAGGCTCCTGGTTATCTGCACCACCCGATCACACTCCAAGAACCGCTCCCAGGCCGCCCAGTCGTACTTCGCCTTCTCCCCAGTCTGCTCACTCTCAGCCCCCCCCTCCTTGCGAGATTCTTCCGACCTGATGGCCCCGCCCCCTCCAGCATCCGCTGAGCTCGCCTCAGCCTCCTCGTGCGCCTCCGGGCCCGCCGCCTGCCGAAACGGATTCACACCCGCTGCGCGCCCTTCATCCCCCCCCTTGGTCCCCAATGCTCCTCCCCGTGCGTTTCCCTTCCCGACGCTGCCGGGCAGTTCTCCTCCCTTCACCGGTTCCAAGCGCCCCACTTCAAACCTTGGGCTTGCACCAAAGACGCTGTGGACGAGGTATTCCCCCGCGCGTCTTTGGTAGTAGGCTTCGTGCCAATCCGCCAGGCACCCTGCTACTCCCCCGAGCTTTTCCCTCACAAGGCGTTGGACAGCCGGGGTGGAGCACTCTGTCCCGTAGATGAGGTCGTACAGCTTTTGCTCTTCCTGTACAGTGCAGGTCTGATTAGAAAGCTGAAGTGAAAGAATTCTAACCCTGCCTCAATCCAGTGGGCATTCCACGTTTCTGACCCTAATTTCATAGGAAGGAGCTAAGGAACTGAGGCCTTACTCGACCTAGCAATGACACCATCTTTTTAAGAGAAGCAACACTCCCAGTCCACACAAACAAAAGTGAACACTGAAGAAGGCCTCTGCCTGCTCACGGATTTCTATGCGCGCAGACAGCTACTTAATTGCCCTACTCCAGAGCTGAATGACCAGACTCATCTTAAAACATTTAAGGTAGATAGCAATTCAAGAGCTGCTCAGCTGCACAGGATATGATCCAGCAAACCTCGATTACGTACCTGAGTGAGCCCATCGTGCACTGGGAACATGTAGGCCTCCTTATGCAGCGTCTCGTTCTCTTTCGTATGCTCCTCACCCCCTGCGCTCGTGACCACAACTTTTCTGAAAAAGCGGAGACTTGCATCCAACACCTTTTTTGCACCTGGATCGGCGAAGAGATCCTGGTACTGATCCAGGCACCAGAGGAGTTCCTCCTCCTTCTTGCTCAGGAAGTCCTCCAGATCTTCCATTGAGTTCAGGCTTGCAATTTCTTCGATCATCTCCTCATTCCCGGCGTACGCCCATGCAAGGGCCTGCTTCATCGCCTCAACTCTCTTTTCCCTAAAGTATCCACAATCCAGGATTGGCGCCACGCGCCGCTCCTTTCCTTCCCATGCTGCTGCAAGGTAGATCACCAGTTGCAGGATAAGGTGCGTTTTGCCAAACCCTGCAGGCCCGTGCACGAGGATCTTACGCCCACCGCTCGGCAGCTGTCCGTCCATCAGCTGGACTGCGCGATCTACCAAGGCCTTGAACTGAGACCGACCCATGACAGCAACCCCCAGCTTCTCTTCAACTTTCACCACCAGCAACCGGAGATCCTGGGTTCTCAAGACTTTTGCCTGCGGCAAGATGCTCCAGCCGTTCAAGACATCAGCTCCCACGTCTCCAGTCTCTACCTTCCTTTTCTTCACCAGCTCCTTTGCAATACTCCCGGACTCCGCTGTTTCGTCGTACCTGAGCCGCTTGGATTTGGGTATGGATGGAACCCCTGCAGACCCAAGCCAATGGTTAGATTGACTTTGCCTTGGAAGAGCACGCTAACTTAGCTTCCATGCTTTTAGGCTAACTTTGCGTCATGTTAATCGCCTCAAGGAAACAACTTCACAATCTGGAAGCTTACATTGTAAAATGATGTCAACGTTGAACAAAGTGAATCCTTGCGTCTACTAGAACCAGAGACCTCCAGCACTGTGCCCCACCAGCAGGAATGGACAATCAAGACCATCAATGAGGAGTGGCAGGCAGCAGTCCAGGCCCAAAATTCCACGGAGCACGCCTGTGGGTCCTTTCTGATATGCTCAAGGATGACAGATGAGAATCTCAGACAATGTCAGATTTGCTGACAGAGTGTCGGCTTTGTTCGTTGACAGCGATGGTATGCTAAGAAAAAAAGGCCAACTTCCTAAGCATGCAGCGGCTATGCTGACAGACTCTTCCTGCCTCTTTGTTGCAATCATCATTGTTGCACCTTCTGTGATCAGAGGCAAGTAACCATTTAAGCTTGCACCTGCCGAACCGCAGGAAGATGCTGGCATAAGGCTTGCAAAAGAATTCAACTCATGGCGCCCAAGACTCATATCCAACCTGACAAGACCTTCACTGTGCATATTGTTGCAAAAGAAAATGAGTTTGTTGAGAGACTCGTTGAGCCTGGCCTTGCAGCAAGCAGAGGCTGCCATGAGAGTAAACTGAAGGTGATTTCAGAGTTGCTTCAGGCACAGCTGGATTTCCACAACCCCCAACCCTACCAGATCCCTGGCCAGACAGGTGAAAGAACCCAGGAGAGCAAAGGGAAATGCTTAAAGAGGCACCGACACACTGGAGGGGTGGTGTGAATCACTGCATCTACAATTAACCAGAAAGCTCCAGCACTCTGCCAGATTGCAGGCATGCACGATTGCTACTGCATCAAGGGGAAACCAACCTGCTGGCTGCAGCCGAGCCTTCTCCTCAAGCAGAAGGTTCCAACTCTGCTGCAGGGAGGCCAGACGCTGCTCTAGAGCCAGACGCAGTGCTGCACCATCGGCTTGTGCCTTGACAACCTTAATCTCGTCCTTCACTTCCGTAATCTCTGCTTCCACTTGCTTGATCTTTAGCTCAACACCCTCGATGGAACTCATCTTCGAACCTCTCCTGCTTTCCTTTGCAGAATGAGATGCCGCCTGGCCGCCTTTTAGAAATGTACTCAGCCACCCTGGTCCAACCCCAGTAAAGATCAGGAAGACCCCGACTCTGGAAATGCAAAAGCGGACGGCGCTTTCCCGTTTGGAGTGAGCTCTGCTCCCCCACGCCTTGTTGTGTCTGTTGGCGTCGAGCCTGCATGTGATGCCTTTGAACGGGAATTGTGGCGCTGTGGAGAGAGATGACAGCGCACAGTTGCCTTGATTTCTGAACTTCTGACCTTGGCTGCGGTCACCCCCACGGGACAACGGTCTAGCACTGCAGTGTTCGGTAATGACGGTTGGAGCGCATATGGGCGTATGGCACATAGCTTATGCAAAATGGACGTGGCCGGGGCGGAGTTGGGTGGGAATGTAAGGTCGCGCCAACTGCTAGAGGCTAGCTGCCGCCCGCGCGGCCGCGCAAGGTCCCCATGAGGGGTTTTACCAGGGTTTTGCAAATGCTCTGGCTGCGCTGCAGCCGGAATTGCACATGAAACCAACTTCAGTCCGCTACGGCGCTAGGATACTATATCGCCGTCAGCGCTAGAGCTTCAGTCTGCCTTTCTCGGAGTCCAACTTCAAGCTAGGCCAAGCCGGGCGCCCTTGTGCCCAGTACGTTGGGTGGACTTTCATTGCCAGGCCCTGCTCACCCAGCCGAAATCACATTGAGCCCTCGCTGGAGGCAAGAAGCGATGGCATCGGTGCCGTATGAGGTGAGATTCCGGTTGAGATGAAGTTCCAAGCATCTGCGACGAAGAGTGTGCGGGAATCGACTGGAAGCACACGGGGTGGGCCGGGGAACTCAAGCAGGGTTTGAAAGTCTGGTCTTAAAGCAAAGGCAATTGCGGTCCAGACGTTGAATAAGGCAATTGGTATTCAAACGCAGACCACTGGAGTTCTGCATACAGGCTAGCTGACCATCAGCGTTGATGCCAACAGTGATCCACTCCTGTGCCCTCAATCTCTTCTGTGGCCCTGTCCCATAAATACAATCCGGCTTGACATCACTGACAGTGATGTTCCCCTCTGACGACAGTCACGAGGTTCCCCAGGATCTGTCCCACCACATTCTGCCTTGCCAGACGATAGGGCTTCATCATACTCAAATCAAGTATTGCTCTTCAGCTGCCATTGATGCCCGACGCTGCATTCCTGCAGGAGGCACTGGCCACCCTTCAGAGCATGTTTGGAGGCCTTGACCGAGACATCATCATCGATGTCCTGGAGCAGAATGGGTGTCAGATGGAGCCCACAGTGGATGCACTTCTGATCCTCAGCGGCGCACAGGGGGCCAGCCCGAGGGAGGGGCAAGTGGGCGGCAATTCTGCAAAGCTCAGGCAGAGCACGCGGCGAAGTTTCTCAAGTAATGTGAGGGTTTTCCCTATCCCCCTGCATTTGCAAAGGCCAGAATGTGCCACTCAGTGTCATTCGAAGTTCTGTAGTCGAGTGTGGAGAACGTTGCACTGAGAGGTTGGGAGTGACTGTATGACCTGACTCGCAATTTCCTGAGCTCAAGCCGAGACCACTTAGATACGGTGAGCGAATGATTCTGCATACAAGCAATGCTCGTATAATCCGAGCTCAATTTTGAGCTTGGACCACTGTCCGCTATTTGCCTATTTTTGTGGGTCGCCATGAGTACATGTTTTTACCAAACTAAAGCCAGAACCCAGTGAAACCGTATCCCCTCTCCAGCCACCTTGCCTTCGTGTTACTCCAGGTCCTGCACCTCTTCTGGGGCACCATCCTCTTGGTGTTTGTCGAATCTGAGCATTCCTATACAAGGCCCAGCCTGCCCCTGTCTTTGAAGCACTTTGCTCTAAGATGCCCCGTTTGACTGATCTAAGGGCCCTCTCGTTCGGCTGTCGTTCTATGGAGCCTCGACAAAACTCTCTGATCAGCAGCTTCAAAGCCACGTAAATTGGTTGTAAGTAACCAGGAATCTCTGTTGTTTCCCTTCTTCCTTCCTGGTGGCTCCTTTTCTTCCACTGCCCCGTGCATGAGTTCCATCAGCATTCTCCGACTGGTTTTTTCTTTTCTCAGGACCCTGTCCGGAGAACATCTGCTGAGGCGGGACATCGATTAGAGGGCTTTGGATCAGGGGAGCCGCATCCGAAAGAAGAATACGAAGATGCTCTAGGTGAGGACTTAGCTCGTTTCCGATACTTGAGTTGGCCTGGCGGCAGGCTAATCGGTGCAGCCGGATCTGACCGGGTCTAATCGAGCTCACCCCCGCATCTTCCAACTTTGCGTCTACCAATCCTGCAATTGGCCTTGCCGTCGAGCACGGTTCCCATTGGATTCTGCTCCAGAACAACTCAGGCAGGCCCCTTAGTATGCACACCGAAAAAGTGAGAGTCTGGCTTGGCCGCTCGTCAAGGAACTTGAAACGCTCTTGTTGTACGCAGTGAGTGGAAGCCTAAAAGAGAAGGTAGCGACTGCCCCCAGCCGAACCATTTCAGCAGGCAGCGGTGAGGCACCGACTCTCTCTCCTCGTTCCCTGGCCTTCGACATGTCTCTCAAAAGATTGCCGGGTAACCACATGGCTCTGCAGTGATCCCTGCGCAGCAAATCCAGCTTCCGTCTTGCGGAGAAGTCCAGTCGCAAGGCACTGCATTCAGCGACTTGGGATACTGGCATACGGGCCATCTGCTCGCCGCAGCGTTGCGGATTGACACGACGCCCTCTTTTAGGAAGTTGCGGGACCAAGCATCCTGCCTGCGCGTGTCTCGTTCACCTCTGCTACGTTTTTCAGCCTCTTGCCTGCTTTTTTCCTTGTTGGAGACTGCCTTCGAGAACGCCAGCAGGGACGAAGTCGGAGTTCGATGGGGTTTTGGTCAATATGGAGGGATGTTTCAAACGTCCCAATCTAGATCCCGTGTAGATGTGAAGTTGAAAACATGATAAACGGTCGTGCAAGTTGCGAAGCAGCTGTACGCAATTCTTGACGGTGCGTACTGCCCTTCCCAGCCGCTATGAGGAAGCTGACGGAGGTCTTGGCGGATTGGGGCCTCACGTCTAGGAGAAGCAGCAGCGAATACTCGTGAGTGCGCTCTGGCTCAGTTGGCCCCCCAAAAACATAGTGCATTCGGGTTTCAATCGAAGTACTATCGGACAGGTCGTCTAATGGTCGCACTTTAGCAAGTTTTGACTCGCAACACCTCTTCAGATTGCGAGCTCGTAAGCCGACTCGATCTCGAGAAGTGGAATTCTTGCCGAACGGGAGGATAGCAATGCTCCGCAAAGGATGTCGACTCCTTTTGCCTATCGAGCACTTCCAACAATTCTTTGGCAAGACCGATTGCGCCCCCTGCAACACTCTCCGCGAATTTGCCTACCTTTTAGGAGGAACGTAAAGAAAAGATTGCAGGAAGTACAGGAGAGTTTTCCAAGGACCCAAGCAACCAATCATCTCCGTCAGATGCCTTTACTGTGCCTCAACTTTCAAACTTGCACTACTCTTTCTCTCCATATCTCAAGTCGCCCATCTTGGGGTCGCTCCTCCCCGCAGGCTCGCCCACGAGAACGAGTACCGCACCAGCGCCCTCGACGAGGACCGCCCCTCCGCGAGCACTTCGTACGCCCAAACGGCCGGGCAGCTGTTGGACACGGTACAGACCGCGACCGCGAACGCCATCGGCGGCGTCTCGTCGTCCTTCCGGAGGGCGAGCGACGTGAAGCATCGGCAGCGCGCGGGACGCGAGGGGCAGTCGCTTCTAGCGCACGACGACGATTTTGAGGACGGGGCAGTGCTGAGTAAACAGGAGACGAGGAAAGGTGGGCTGACTGTTCGCCGGCGCCGATGTTATGCCACGCCTTCCCTGTGTTCCTAAATAGTGGGAATCAATACGTGCTGCTTGGCGAATGTCAAATTTGTCCGGTCTGCGAGCTGGATTCTGTTGCATTGATCAGCTCGTGAGCCTCCAGTGCAGTCTGTATGTCGCTAGGTACCATTTTGATCTCGTTGTCCGGCGGCATATCATACCCAGAGTTCTAGCAAAACAATCAATCAAAGCGTTCTGCGCCATCGGACGGCGCTTCTGCACCAAGGCCTCCCGGGGCAAGGCGGTTGCTATGTTTGAGTTCTTCGCATGCAAGTGGAGGCAACTGCCATCCTCGTTCGTTTGGCCGTTCACTGAATATCACTTGGGTTTCCCGTGGCAGAGGAGTCGCGGTCACTCAATAGTGGATGGGAAGAAGACGAGGAAGAGGACGAGGGGTTCATTAAGAAGGAGCACTGAGGGGCCGGGGCTTGGGCGTAGCGGCGGCCTTTCACGAGGTTAACAGTTGAAACCATCACGTGTTGTACATTAGATGGTAAGATAGCAAGCGGGGGGCGTCGGATTCGCTTGTAGTAGAGAGCTTCGCGATGTACATAGCTGAGGCTAAGGTGTACAGAGCCTGCGGTTTCCGTAGGAAAGTGAGTCGGGTCTTACAAAGATCTTCACAGTAACTCGCCCTTAATGGGTCCAGCGGGAGACTCCCAGTTGGTTCCAAGAGCGAGAGAAGTGAATTCTAGTCCGGTCAGGACTGCGGTTCTGGCACGTCCAAGTCCAGAGTTTTAGTACCATCTTGACCCATCAGGGAGAAGCCTCGCTGAACGGACAAAAGTCTTTGGAGGCCTGACCCGTCTGATTGCGCATGAGTCACTCATGCAACCAGAACTCAGCCTATCCAAGCGGATCATGCTACGCTGGCATGTCACAGTGCAGGCTGGCGGTGCCAGCCGTTTGCTGGCAGCTCGATCTCATATTCTCCGATCACCTGACTTCAAGAAGTAACAATATGTCCAGCTCGAGTGCTGATGCGCGCGGTCACGCTTCTATCATTGCCCTGAGAATGTGGCAACGTCATGAGACATGTGCGGCCCGCTTGTCGGCTTTTGTTTAATTTATACCCTATTTGTATATTAATTGTTGTATGCATGATCGCATGACGGTCGACTCAAGGCCCGCTAAAGGAATTACAGCTATTATAGATAACGTACTCTCCTAAGGATAACATGTGCATACTAAACCGAACCCCACGCAAGTTATCCGACATGTAGACATGAACTTAGCTCTGAAGATGTCATGCATAACGGGCCAGCGAATAGCTAGGAGAAACATGTGTATCATGATCGATCGTGGTATACATGCCACATGGCATGATGCATATCATTATGCACATGAGCCAGTGGCCCCAACATGCTCAGTGGCATGCACTGACTAGCTGAGTGCATGCAACGTTGTGCCAGTCTCTAGGCCGGGCTGGGCCGGGCGGCCAGGCCCCTACTGAACTTAGTAGTGGCCACTTCAATGCAGTGGAAGTTGGTGAAAGCTCGTCGGGTTTCCCGCGCGTCTGTTTAGAGTTGCGGCGGGTGGCCACAGTTATGTGGAAAGCACGATCAACAGATTCGATTGCTAGTAGCATCGGGCTAAGCTGCATGGACGTACAACAGTGAAGTTAGTAACGGATCTGCTCAGAACAATATGCTTTATTTGGCCCAATGCAAAAATAAGACCTTTTAAATCTGGTCCTTTGCAAAGCTCAACAGCTTTGAGTCAAAGTTTCATCGTAGTCGAGGCCGCTTCCCTCGATAAAAGGGGGGCGGACTCCAAATGCCGGCATCGACAGACATCGTAAGAAGCGAAACTGGCTGCTGCTTAAGCTCCCTTCTTGGCCAAAGACTGACGAGCTCGACAAAGTCGCTTGGGAAGCTCTGTCGTGTGCGAAACTCTGACATTGTCATCTCCGGTAATCGCCGCTTCAAGCTTTCCCCTTGTACCGTCCCCTCCAATACTTGCCACGCTTTCCGTGGGTCACCGTGCGCCTCAGCGCTGACAGTATCCTCGTCTTGTTCGTCGGCCGCTTCTTCGGAATGCACGGCTCCATTTGCGCCGTCTCGATGTTGGGTTGTTGCCTCGCTTTGCTTTTCAACCTGCGGATGCGCTTCAATGTCATCCGAAAAATCCTCGTCCTCTTGGCTCCAATGAGCCTCTTTGCCATCCGATCGACTGGTGCTTGGTGCCGCTGCATCCGGTTCAAAACGAGATCGCTGGTCTGATGCTCCACCGGCTTCGTCTGCTTTTCGCCGGGGTGCCTCAGCCCCGCTGCCAATCGCTTCCTGCCCGCCTGTGGCCCCATCAAGCGACAGGGCCACCCCGTGCTTCTCTGGCGCCTCAGAAGGGACGTCGGCCTCCGCCGCCTCTGCCGTTCCCGCTTCTTCTGGCTCGTCCCGTGCCCCTTGCACCGCGCTTTCCGTTCCCCCTTCCCCTTTACGGTCTGCTCCGCTGACTGCCGTACCCCCTCTTTCCAAGCTCCCCTTGTCCGCAACAGGTTCTTCGCAGGCTTCGTTGGCGTCAGTGTTTGGTTGTAACGTCACCCCTGCGGAATCCGTCGCCGGGCCCGCTGGTCCCTCCAAAGCGGAACGGCCGTAAGGGCTGACGTCGAAGTTCGGCTGTAACGTCACCCCTGCGGGTTCCATTGCCTGACCCGCTGGTCCTTCCGGGCGTTCCGCTTCGCCCTCCGCCGCCTTCTTCCTGGACCGAGTTTCTCGCACGGTAAAATTCTCGAAGGCTCCCCTCCCAGCTTCTGGCAACTTCCGATCGGCCAACTCAGGCAGCTCCGCCCTCTCGCTTCCCGCCGCTTCGGCGGGCCGCCCGCCCGACGTCAGCGCGTGACTCACGGCAGTACCAGCTCTGCCGCTCCTGGTGGTCGGGCGCGCATGCTGGGTGGAGTCGGAGAGTTGCGCGACGTTCTTGCTGAGTGCGGTGGCGGCGGTGAAGGCAGAAGACGTGCCCACCCGGGCAGACGACTCCCGAGCCGCCTCCGCAGCCTTGGCCGCGGCATGGACTCGCTTTGAGATGGCCGCGGTTCGGGCGGAGGGACGCAGGGAGGCGGGGGCGTCTGCGGGGGCTGGCTGCTTTTCTACCCGGACGTCCTGCACAAGGACCGAGGCTCCCATGACATCAGGTGCCGTGCTAAGCCAAAGGAGGGCGGTGTTGTGAGCGCTAGCCTAAGCAGGGAATGTTCATCTCACGTCAGTGAAGAATAGCAGGCTCCGTGAAGAACAGCAGGCAAGGCAAGCGATGGGGACCGAAAGCAGAGTGCACTGGATACAGCTTGCGTAATAAGTATTACCACCACCCGCAACGGCACCCTCGGGAAGAGCAAAATTGTCAAATGCATCACATTCTGTGGCATGACAGAAACCTGGTTCAAAGTTGTTGTACCGGGAAAGGGAGAGGATGACAGAAAATTGCAGGGTAAAAGACCGACTGAAGCGAATGCAAGCTCACCCCCGACACCCCCGACTTTGACCCGTTCACGGCCTTCTTCCGTTCCCTGTTCCTGCCTAGCCTTGAAGCTGTCTCCTGGCTTGACGCCGGTTCCGCGACCGCATCTTGAAACACTTCCTCGTCCTCCTCTTCTCGTTGTTCTTCAGCCACCGGCCCTTCTTCTTCTTCTACAGATTTTACAAGCTCTGCTGGTTTCGCCCTTATTTCAGGGCCGGTATCCTGTCCCTTCTCCTCAACCCCATCCTCTTCTACTTGCTGCACAGCCTCCTCAGTGGCCTCAACTTTGTCCTCGTTCTCAGGAGTCGGTTGCTCCGACGGGCGGTCCAAGACCTCTGCAGCTTCTTCTGGTTCGTCGCCTGAGGCGGACTCGTCCTCTCTCTCCTGAGTCAGACCCTGTGGAGCTGTTTCGGCCAGGAAGGGCAGCAGCGAATCGAACCCTGGGTCTTGGGTCATTGGCTGAAACTCATCGAACCTCCTGCAGGAAAGAGGGGGTAACCAATCTTAGAAACTTTGCAGTCTCGAGCATCTTTACCTCACAGCCTGAAGCCAGAAGCACCTGTCAACAAAGAAAACAAGCTACCCATGATCTAAAAGTCAAGAGGCGTTCATAGGTACCAGCAACACAATTATAAGCCGGTCTGGGATTGAAAGTCAGAAGGACGAGTGATGGAAGGAGGAAAGTGCTCGGAGGAAATCATCCTGGAAGAAAAGGTTTTGCTTGCAAAGGTGCCTGTAGAATGTGGCAGCTTGAGCTTTGAAAGATGTGTGCGGATGTCAATCGACAAACTTCCATCTGGGGAAGTCGAGGCAATTCATGCGACTTCAAGTGGTAATTATCAGGAGGGAATGGAAACAGAGCTTACGCGTCGGGGGCAGAGGCGGCAGGATCCGCTGCAGGTGGTTGACTCTCAACAGGAGCCGCTTCTTCCGTCCCATCCTCAAATGCTTCATTGTAGCTGTCAGCTCGGTTAGGACTGTCCAAGTCTTCATCTTGTGAAGTGAAGCGGGCCGGCTCCTGGAGATCCAAGAAGCCGCCAGTCGCCTGGATCTCATCTTCAACTGAATCCTGCTATGAAAACATATACAGCAATCACTATCAATCTTTACAAGGACTTATACCTTTCAACGAAGAGAAGCTGTTTGCTACCTTGTAAAATCGCTCCAAGGAGTCGATAACTCCTCAGAATGTGCCGCCATTGGTAGACGACAAGACTCAGGCACAAAAGTGTCACTTTGCTCAACTAGCAGCGATGCACAGATAGAAATCCTAAACTTGTAAGGCAGATCTTGGAAACTTTGAATGCAAAAACCACAACACTGCAAAACCTTGAGGTGGCGTACCTTGAGGCCCGATGCATCTTCTTGCTGCACACCGAGGTCTGCCTGTTCGACAGGCACAGTGTCCTCTTCTGCATCTAGTGGGGTGAAATCATCGCCATACTGCGCTGGGCCCCAGCCTGCAAGGTCCACAGAAGCGCTGATATGAGATTACCAACATGAGGCTCTTCTTACCTTGCTAGCCCTCTGTGCAGAAGTGACTGATAGCAACTGACTCTCATCATTGATTGTCTGCCACCGTTGCACGCCAACTCTGAACACAGGGGTTCTATAGAACTTACTTCAGTTCTTACCCTCATGAAAAAGTCCTTGACAGAGGCAAATGCGGGGATGTAAAAAGGCTGCAAGATGCTTTACCTGGTATCTGAGCAAGCGCTTCTGCCTGGTCAGCTGGGATAAGCGCCCTGCGGATAGCCTGAAGGTTGACAAGCAAAACTCAGAAAGGTTTTCTTGTCGTTGAGTTTCATTTGTGCCTCCTCTGAATTTACCATCTGCCCCGTTTGTGCCAGGTCGAATGCAAATCATAATCGAACCTCAATTGATTACGAAGCTCAAATTAACACCTCTGACTACATCATCAAAAGCTCATCAAGTATCTTGGCAATGCACCACTTCTACTTCTTTCTGCATAAGTATTTGAAGAGGGGCACTCAAGTTTACCAAGGTTTATCAACTTTTACCAGAAACAAAGAAGTTGATCATCCTGCAAGTTGGGTGTTTGTCCTTGAAGCAGAAAATATCCTCTCTAAAGTAGTACGCAACATTTCTTGCAGCTGGACCATACTGGCCACAATGTGACATACAAAGAAAGCAAGGTCTCAGTTTCTCACATTGCTGTATAAATCTGCAGACATTGTCCCACCAGCTCTTATTTTCCCAGCAAAACCAAAAAAAGGCAACCCTGCAGATCGTTGATGCAGTTCTTTGGGCGCAACTCGAAGTGCCACCTACAAGTAATGCAGGTGCAAGCTTCTGCTCAGCACACCTCTTCCTTCCTCAACAGTGGACACCAGAATGCCGTCTTCGCATAAACTGTTCTGCACATCATGCTGCCAACAGCATTGCCTAGTACGGTAGTAGCTTAGGCATCCATGGGTATTGGGCAACCTGACTCAGTGCTGCAGCCTGGCCCTCAGCCTGCACTGGCAGGACCAAAACTCAAGACTCGAATGATGAATCAGGTTTGCCGGCGCAATTTGCGCTGCGGCAGTGTATTTCAGGCAGGGGGGTATAAAAAATTGGCATCTTAGCCCCCAGCAGGGTTTTGGAGTACTTTTGTGACTTGTCCCATGCGCCACGTAATCACCTAAAATCGCATACAAGCCCAGTCAGAATCCACAAGCATGCCACGTCATCTATAAACCAAGAAGCTATACTGTTACGAGTCACGAGAAAGTGCACATTGAGATACCGAGACCTGATCTGCTTCATCGAGTATATCATCGAGCTTGCGTTTCATGAACGTTGAATGAGCCGGCGTCGATTGATGTCTGCACGATACATCTGAGTCGAGGCAAAGCGGATGTACGTCTTCATGATTTGGCGGCCTCGCAGTATGTCGGAGTCTAAGTTGACGTACAAGTACATGAGCATCATCATGGCTTGAAAAAGAGGAGCTTTTGCAAAATCTGCCCTGTACGTATCACGGTTTCGATTCAAATAACGAATAGCCAGCGGCACATGCATGTCACTAACACCACATGCGCAGGCTCAAATTCGGTCCTATCCTTACAGACGCAATACTGATACTTATTGCGTGGACAATGATTGCTACGATCTCAGTGCATCATGTCGCATGTGATTTTACACTCTGTTGATGGGCAACTTTACTAAGACTCTTTCTTTTCAAGCGTCCTTTCAAGCTGAGTTCGACTTGTAAACACTTTCTTGTTTAGATACAAAACCAGAAGAACGAAGTGTACGAAACCATAGGAAGTCATTGCTGCGGCTTTCAGGTAAGGGTACTGTGCTGGCGGCTCAAGAAATAGAGCTCCTAAATGTATCACCACAACTCCGATCAGAGACGCCGGGAACGCAAGTCGAAACCACACGCAAGAATCCCCAAGCCCTGACGGCGGTGGATTTGCTATCAGGAGGTACAGGACTTGCGAGGCAACGTACGTGAGCGCCTGGCCGTCTCTCACAAGAAGGGGGAACATGCTGAAAGCTGCAATTGGTGCTAACCACTGTACCACCCAAGGGCTGTCCAACGCGAGCATTGTTGCGGGCAGTAGCGGCAGTAGAATCGACTTCTCGTGCACTGCAAAGATCAAAGGATTATCACATAAGCCAAAACTTCGCAGATTTTTAGGCAAAATTTCTCGACGACCAGCGAGCAATATGAGCGCAGCAACTCAGCTCTGTCAGTGTTCTGTTAAGATGCAGTGATGACAACCAATCAGGTACTTATTCCGCTGACCAGAGAGACCAAGTTCCCAAGTTGCGATGACGGAAGGCTCAGCTCGAACGAGCAGGACAAGACATCCGAAAGCAGTCAACAGCTCAACAAGTGCATCTTCGCACCAACCCCTATGACCTCGAGACGCCCCACCCAAGGCCGATGAAATTCTACAGCAATGTTCTGTCCCACCCAAGGCAGAAAGCAAGGAGCCTGCTATACACAACACTTCGTCCCCTCACCCTGGAAGGAAAAGAGGAAGAAGGCCAGGCCCGAGATAAGCATTCCCCGAATGAGGCCCTGCTTGGACGGCCGTCGGATCTCGTTCCACATGAACGGCAGGCATGCCGTGACAGTCGTCGCTCCCGCCAGGCGCGCCGCAGCCTCGACGCTAAGGCGCTTCTTCCACTTGAAGGCGCGCACCGGCAGCATCGAGGTGGTGCACCAGAAGTTGGCCACGTGGTCCTCCCACAGGCCGCGTTTGAGAGGCGCTAGGCGGCTAAAGACCTGCGACAATCAGTTGTCGGCAAATTGTGATTAGATGATTGGCATTTAGTCACAAAGGTCTTGACAAAAGACGGTTTACGCAAGACTTCAGAGAGGTCAGAGTTTAGGTACGCTCAGCCACTCCCTCAGCCGAGCAGTCCTTGAAAAGCTGCGCTTGGTCTCTACTGCGAGGGATTGACAATCGGTTCAACGGAGAGCGGCATCTACTTCGGGGGGATTGCTTTTCACACCGTCCTTCCAATCAAAGCCGGGGGTCCCCCGTGACAACGTTCGCCTTCTCAACGCCGCAAACCCCATCCGTTTATACTCATTGTCCAGCTCACGGAATACGGAATTCTTCTCAACACGTAAAGTGGCCGCTCTTCAAACGAGCTTGCCCGTTACAAATCAGGGCAGAACGACTGCAACGACTCTGCAGCGAACCCCGTCCGGTAGTGACAAGAACATGGTTCAACCTCGCTTGTTAAATGCAATTGAGAGATAACGAAGCATATCGGGCTGTCTGACCTGGAGAACCGCTTCCGCAGAACTGAGGTACGGCGCCCAGAGCACAGCGAAGGTGGCGATGACAATGACGCCCAGCTTGATGACGTGCAGCAGGGGCCGCCGTTTCTGGAAGGAGCGGCCCAGGAGGTGGGCGAAGAAAGCGGGGGCCAGGTACATGCTCATCTGCGGAGGGGAGGGGCGAGTGGTTGGCAGCAAAGAGAAGAGCGAACGGTACAAGTGTCGGGGGTTGGGATCGACGATGTATCATGATTTGATAGATACTACGGGCTCGTTGTCGAGGATTGATGAGAGGAGGTTACATTGGGGAACCCTGAAGACGATGAGCTGAACTTTGCCTTCGACAAAATCAGTGGAGTAGAAGCATGTGCTATTGAAAAGTTCACTCGAAAGGCAAGCCTGTGAGTGCCAGCGAGAGACTGATACTCGATCGGAAGTATCACTGTATGCAGAAGAGGCGGCCCTCGTGATTCCAACATGCTCACGAAAATGCTCAGTATCAGAGATGGGAGATGCTTATTCTACGGACGTTTTTTTGTCACGTTTTTACGAGAAGGGGCGAACGCGCTCGGAAGGTTCGGGGTTTACCTGCTTGTGGTTGAGAGACAGGCAGAAGAGCACGCTCCCCACCACCTCGTACTCCTGGATGATGGCAGCTGCGGCTGCGAGAGCAAACCCGAGGCTGATGCAATTGTACTGCAGCACAAGCAAGAGCTGTGATGTGAGGCGCGGTCTACGAAGCAATGACCGTTCAAAGTCCTGATCCCAAAGGTTTGAAAGTAGCTTCGAAGGTGAAGTTGAGTCAAACTGTGAACTCGCAAAGATTGGGGTCCGAAACGCACTTCCATGCACATGGGTTGAAGCTCAGCTACAGTCAATGGTAAACCGCTCTGTGGCGGCCTAATGATTCTTCTCAGGCCTCGCTCTTTATCTTGCCCGACCGGATGTTGATGATCGTGAAACGATCTTCGATTATAACCCATCACGAGTTCAGAGTAGAAGGGGGCAGGAACGAATTCTCCAAGTGGTTCGAGGTCAAGCATATTCATGCCACCACTCCTTGACAACATGGTCAATCACAGCGGTCCAAAACTCACGAGGTGATCTGCCTGATTATACACACTGGGGGCTACAGTAGTGCTCGACGGCACACTCGGTCACTTTCAGTGGATCTTGATCAAACAACTGTGGCAGTCAAAGAACGAAGACGATGAAAGTCACAGCAAGTGACTATCATCACGAGCTTCCTTGGAAAGGAAGCAGGGCAGCAAGATAGTTCGAGGGAATCTTTCACCTGGAAGTGTCCATGGTCCACCAGCAGGCTGGCAGGCTGCAGCAGCAAGATGGATAGCGCCCAGGCCTGCTCCGTCCCGCTTCGTCCACCATAGTATGCCCGCACAAACCACCAGGCCGCCGGGAAGAAGACGAGGACGTCCGACAGGAGTACCGTCCACCGCATGAGCAATTTGCTGTGGTATTGACAGAGAAGGTGAGTCGGTCATTGATTCACAACTGGGTACGATTCCTCTTGCATCAGGCAGACACGGTGATTTTGATGATGGGTCCGCTCAAGAGTGGAGGTGGTTGCAACCTACAGACTGGCCCAGATAGGGTGGTAAGAAAGATTTCTCAATTAAGTCACTATCACCAAAGCGCAATCGTCAACTTGCAGACTTCCATATCAGCCCTGACGACCATGGACTATTGACTTTGTAAGAGAACAGTCTGATTGTACACTGCCCCGCGTCAATTCAAGCTTGGTCTCGGCGCCCACCTGCTTGGCGTCTCATAACCCCTAGAGGACTCCAGTCCCACCGCCTCAGGTTCGAATGCTGACACAAACAGGCCGTGCAGGTAGCTCTGGTAGGCTGTCAGGGGGGGGTAGTCCAGGCCCCAGTACGTGAGGTTGTTCTGGGGGGTCTCGCTGTACCACTCTCGCACGGGGGTGTGGAGGGTGATCTCCATCCAGTGGCGCTGAGCCTCATAGTCTCCAAAAGTGGGGGGGTTGCCAGCACCTTGCAAACGAGCAGGCTTCAGAACTCGGCATCTTCTGAACGAGTCAAAGAATCTGAAATGTACCATGACTTTGACAGCAAGGGCAAACCAGTTTGGGCAACTTCCCTCACGTTGCCCCCTTGTCTCCAACCAGCACGCTTGTCTTCGGTTCTAGAAGAACTTGAGAATGTAGCCTGACGTTCAGGAAAGTGGTGGTGGTCACCTCTCATCACGGTCTTCTGCTGTCGGGTACATGAACAAAGACAACCTGGACATCACCACCTTCTTTATGCTGAACTGGGGGGAGTTTCTCACCACTGTATGACGAAAGGCCCACCAGTAGGCGCACCAGGATGGCCAGGAGGAAAACGAACTCCACTGCCACATTCTGACGGGCGAGAGAGCCAAGAAATCTTGCAAACATATTGAAGCCCAGATACAATGCAAGGCAGGGCGATCAATCCCTCAGATTGCAGATTGCATGCCAAGGATGCATCCGACCACCACCTAATAATCAGAGGTTCAACTATATCAGGGATGCGGCGCAACTCCGCAACATGGTGAAGACTTTGTCTCTTTTGCTTTTGCGAAAAAGACAGCCACAGCACCACGAAGGTAGCTCAAATTGAAAAGGAGGAGGAACACGATTCAAGAAGGCTTCAAATGATGTTTGAAATTGACCCTCCACCAACACGATTCCGTCGACAGATATTGCTCCAGCGCACACGCAAATTGAACATTATTCTCGAAATTTGAAACTTATTAATGACACTGGCGTTTCAATATAATACCGCAAGTTGCTATTTGAGATATACAGCGTTAAATTTCTTAAGTCTAAGAGAGATCTATTCCCAGTGTCGGCCATGGCTCTTATACGCGGATTTAAGGAGCTATATAAAATATATACAGTAGTTACTAGTTACCATGGTTTCTAGCGGGCAGATCAATGCACGACGTACAGCATAGGGTGATTCGTGGAGCAGGTCGCTGGGAATTGGAGCCCTTGCCAGGGCCGTTAAGCATGGGGACGAGCACCTAGCTGCAGCCCTTACATTGTTCTCTATCGTACCTGTTGCTGGTTGCTTGAAGTTCAAGGGATTGTGACAGCGATGAAGCGAGGGCGCACTTTTGGCCGGACGTTGTGCTGAGCACCCATTCTGAGGCACCTTACGATCCCGCTGCGAGTTCACCAGATTAGCTACGATGGCCTTTTTTACTGTGTCCCATCAGAAAGGCCCGCCCTTTACTGGCAGCAAACCCGGTGGATGATGAGCTCAAGTCGGCACGCATTGGCAGGAACAATGCAGGGTTCTGATGTAGCTTTCATCCTAGAGTTCCTCCGTCAGCATGATCTCAAGGTGGCGGAAGAGGCCCTCCGCAACGAGTTGGCAGCAAAGGGCAACCTGCTGTCAGATCCACCTGTTGGCAAGGCCAGTGGGAAGGTTTCTGTTTCAGGGAACGGAAGCATCAGCCAGCTGGGACTAGCTCAGTTGGTGACAGGTCCTGCTGCTCCTAGTGTTGAAGATGCAATCCCTCAAGGCCTGGCTCCAGTGAGGATCCATTCGAGCCATGATCTCCTCAAGGCAGGAGAAGAGCCGGTGGAAGAAAAGGGGAAGCGGAAATCAGTCTCCGACCTATCCATGGTCCCCCCGCCCCTTCCTATCGCCGAGCCAGTCACTTCCCCTGCCATCTCACCCCCTACACATGAGAGTAGTTCGGGCTCAATTAAGCACCATAATGTGCCTGCAAAACACAAACCCCGGGGGACGGGACACAAGAACCAGAAGCAGCCAGGTGTGCATCCAATTCTGATCCTGCAGTACTTGTCTACCTCCCCAACAGTTTCAGTATTTGACTTCCTGAATGCATTTGATTCGTCTGCGTGGATTGGCACGTTTCAGCACGAACAGAATTGTGCTGCTGCCATATATATCCTTATCTGCTTGAGATGCGAAGAAAGCCATGAGATGTACTTTTTTTCTCAGCACACAAGTTGCAGACAATCAACCAGTGGATGGTTGTATGTTCTACAGGTGGGATGCATCTTGTCGGCCTTGTGATGTCGAGCTTGACAGAAGCAGAGAAATTGGAGAATGCAAGTACCAACGTCAAACCACCTTGCAAGCTTGGTCTTTTTGAATTGCTACCATACCTGCTGATGCACGCTGTTGTGCAGGGGCGGCCGATGGGAAGGCCGCTGGCTTCAAGCCAACCTGGGCGCGGCGGGAGTCCACAGAGAAGGGGGAGCCTGCAGAGCCTACTTCCCTGCAGCAGGCACGGGAGATGCTGCTGGGATTGGCAATGGGCGGAGAGCAGGCGGTGAGAGCCACTAAGGGCTCTGTTGCAGTAGCACTGCTGCCTTGCAAGGCAATCTGTGTGATACCATAAAGAAACTTAATCTGCGCCAGCTTTTGCCAGGCTTAGGGAACGGTAGGGTTTCACTAGCTGGTGGTGTGGCGGGCATTTGAAAGCAACCAGGACGAGGTGGAGAAGACTTGCGGTGATAGCCTCACTTCAGCATAAATGCAGGACTTGTGAAGGCAGCTGCCCTAAAGTTGCCTATTGCGGGTGCGGCAATCAATTAAGCAGAGCTTGAGTTCAACTCGACTTATACTGGCTGAGCTTTCGGTGTCGGAAATGCTTATGTTGCATGTTCACGGGACTGAAGCGATATTATTGTGCGGACACTTCGAGTTTGCAAGTTGGAAATTTAGAAGCTTGATTGCTGTACAGCATTCTCCTGTACGATCGCCTGTGGTTGAATAGAGCAATAATATTTGGGGGTACATAGTGGTGGCGCGATGCCGTTGCAGTGTTGCTCCTTTTCTGGATTATTAGAGAAGGCAAAATCAGTGCATCAACATACTTCAGTGTGGCTGCATTGATCCAATTTCTTTGACTATGTCAACGTGTCGCTGTTCACTTTTGCCAATCGACCATCAAAGAAGAACACTATGTGCTACAGCTCTTGCCTTTCCTCATCAGGTTGTCTGAATCTGCTTGCTCCTCACTTGTCCAAGACTATTCCTTTGTGCCCACTTCCTTAACACCTCTTGTCTTGTCCCCGCCAGTCTGGGACACGGCCGGCGGAGGAGGAGTGGGACAGCGACGAGTACGAAGACGAGGACGATGTTGGGTATCACCGGCAGGCCATAGAGGACGAGGAGGCCTTCCTGGCGAATGAGATTGAGACGCCCCCCGAAGAGGACGAGGGCCGGAGGACCAGCGCAGGCGGCGAAGGGGCGCACGAAAAGAAGGAGGGCATTGGGGATGACCCGTCGTTTCAGGAGGAGGCGTACTTCTCAGGGGAGGAGTACTACAAGCTGGAGGGGAAGCCTCAGGAAGACGACGACGAGACGTCGTCCGAGGCGAGCGTTCGCGAACTGGAGCAGGCCCAGGCAAAGGCGCTGTCGCGGCAGAGCTCGGGGCTGGGGGATGAAAGCGCCGTGGTAGAAGTGGAGGACTTTGGGATTCTGACCGCTCCAGAGGGGGTGGTGGAAAGGCAGCGGCCGGGGGAGGGGGACGAGAAAGCGAGGAAGAAGGGCCTGGCGGACCTGCTGCAGAAGCTGACGGCAAAGCCTACGGAGAGGACGAGCAACGGCCGCCCCGCGGAAGAGATCCCGGGTAGCGAGAAGCTGACGGGAGTAGAAGCAGAGGCGGCCGAGGCTGCTGCAGTGCTCGCTCAGTATGAGAAGGCTGCTGAGGGCGCAAAGAGGGCCCCGGGCGCGCCGGAGGAGGGGCTCTCAGGGTTCTCCTTCCCCGAGCCCGCTTCCGTGGACATTGCGCCTCCGATAATACTCGAAACAGGGGGCAAGTCGGTGTGGTCGGTGGACAACTTGTCCCCTGCAAGGACCGACCCCGAGGCGAACAACGAGTCCCCGCCCCTGGCGATGCCCGACGCAGACGACATGCTCGCGGGGTTTCTGCGCAAGAGCAACGAGACGTCGCCGGTTGCGAGTCCGAAGGAGGAGGTGCGAAATGAGGAGGGGCAGGAGGACTTGGATGACGACAGGGGGGATAGCATGCGCGCGGAGGAGGGGGATGACGACATCGACGCGGCGCTGGAGGAGGGTGACGAGGACGCGGCGGTGCACGAGCAGCTGCAGCGGATGAAGGCGGAGGAGGAGGAGTTCGAGGTGTTTGACTTGCGAGTGATCCACCGCAAGAACAGGTGCGCAGGCGGACCGTTGGAAGGAACAGACCTGGTGCCTTCTTAGGAGGGAAGCCAAAGAGAGCTTCTGGGAGGAGATGCAGAGAAGATGTCTTTCCATTCTATGACAGGGAGGACATAGTACCCTTTTCTAAGTGGACCTTCGGGCCTACGTGTAAGATCGTGACGCTATTGTGTGGGGCGTCTGCATCTCCTTTTAGGTTTAGTCAAAGACTGTTGTCTGTCGAGTATGCCGAGTGGCAGTCGGCTATTGCGGTCCTTTGTAATGATTGTAATTCTGCTTAGCACTCACACCTGTGAAAATTTTGTCATATGAAGAAGTGTCTGCAGTGAGAACAATTCCCACCTGTTCACACACGTCTGCTCAGATCGTGTTTGAAGATGCCCTCCCTCCCATGTGCAGGACCGGGTTCGAGGAGGAGAAGGACTTCCCGGTGCAGCTGAACGCGGTGGTCGCGGGGCGGTACCACGTGACGGAGTACCTGGGCAGCGCGGCGTTCAGCAAGGCGATCCAGGCGCACGACCTGCAGACGGGGATGGACGTGTGCATGAAGATCATCAAGAACAACAAGGACTTCTTCGACCAGAGCCTGGACGAGATCAAGCTGCTCAAGTACATCAACAAGCACGACCCCGCCGACGAGCACCACATCCTGCGCCTCTACGACTACTTCTACCACCGGGTGAGCGCCGGGGCAGCGCACGTGACCGAGCTCGAGAGCAAGTGGTTTAGTTGACAGCCATAAGTGGGGTCGTACTGGGCATCCTTGTCAAACATGGTTGTGACAGGCTACTGTTGGAAGCGTTGCATATGCAAACAGAATACTATCAAATCACCAGATGCCAAGTGAATTGGCGCTGTTTGCCCATGTCTGATCGAAATTGGGTCGAAAGCACGGAAAGCTACAAACCTGTTGACAGGTCAAGGAAACCCTTCACGTGCGGCTGACGGCACAGGAAGGTACGAAGTGAGTTGCACGGTCTTTGGCTGAAGTGAGTAAACAGGAGGGGTGGTTAACGTCCGCCTGCGCTGCTTTGCAGGAGCACCTGTTCATTGTCTGCGAGCTGCTGCGCGCTAACCTGTACGAGTTCCACAAGTACAACCGGGAGTCTGGCGGGGAGGTCTACTTCACCATGGCACGGATACAGGTGCGGCCACTTACCACTGCGATCGGTTTGGGGTCTGTAAACTATTGGAAGACACCTCCTTTTTGTCTAACGATTTGTAAGATCTTGGTCCGCCGTTTCTTGTCGTACCCCTCGTTGCCATCATGGATGATATAGACAGAGTTCTCTACTTTCCCGTGCTAGAGAGTGGTTGTTGCCTTCTCCAGGGAATAGTCATCCTTGGGCGTACTGTAGTGTCCACCCCCTGCAGCGGCTTCAGCACCAACTATTAGGAAGGCGGTAGTTCGCTTCTCTTTGTGGACCAAGCAGTCTTACTTTCGCCCGTCAGCTTCCTTTACTGATAATCTCTCCCGCCCTCGTCAGCCGGAAGCCTACATAGACCCTCTTTCACGGCGAAGTTTTTGGTGTCTTCCCCCGAAGCCGAGTACCCTTTCCCTGTGACGCTGCTCCTGAACCGCCCCTCGCCCCTCTCTGCTCGCAGTGCATCACGGTCCAGATCCTGGAGGCGCTGCACTTCCTGCACGGGCTGGGCCTGCTGCACTGCGACCTGAAGCCGGAGAACATTTTGGTGAAGAGCTACTCGCGGTGCGAGATCAAGGTGATCGACCTCGGCAGCAGCTGCTTTGCGACGGACCACCTGTGCAGCTACGTGCAGTCGCGCAGCTACCGCGCGCCGGAGGTCATCTTGGGCCTCCCGTACAGCCACAAGATCGACATCTGGTCGCTCGGCTGCATCCTGGCGGAGCTCTGCAGCGGCACGGTCAGCGCCGCAGCCCCGATACTCCTGCTCTAGTTCTCATATCGCTGGCCACATATGTCAAGAATTCACGGGTCAATTGATTGCTAGAAAGATGGCCAGAATGGAGGCTCGATGGATGACGGTGCCCCGAGTCTCTGGATGCTACGTGGCTCATTTCTGGGGTGGATGCTGTGGCCGTAGATATTAGGGTATCGCGTTTCGGTGTTGCTTTTTAGAGGGTGTCCAGGCAGGAGGAGCTCGGATGGTATGACGGTTTAGGCGGCAAGAAAGGTTCAGCGGTACCTGTTTGGTGTCCGTGAAATAAACACCAAACAACATTCTGGGGGCTATTGAGCAGAGTCGGAGCCCGCAATTGACGCATCCCACAAGTATATGGTGAACGACAAAGCAAAGAACCAGCAGTTTGTTTGAATCAGCGGACTTTGTCGATCGTAGCTCTGTAATCTGCTCTATGGGCCGCGCCTCAAAGTGCGTCCCCTCGTGCCTACAGGTTCTCTTCCAGAACGATTCTTTGGCCACTCTGCTGGCTCGCGTTGTTGGCATCCTGGGCCCCATCGACCCGGCCATGCTGGCTCGAGGCAAGGACACCCACAAGTACTTTACCAAGGCCAACATGCTCTACGAAAGGAACCAGGTGCGCCGAACAAGAGGCCTACCTTTTAGAAAGACGTTTCGTATCGTCCTTGCTAAGCAGTTCTGTTATCGCCGAAGGTCCGGATGCAAAAGTTGTGTATTCAAACCAACCTTCGCTGACCTTTGCATTCTTCTATAAGGGTTTCAAAGGTGCTGAGAGCAGGGCAGGAGAGTATAATTGCAAAAATTGGTCGCCATTCCATTGCCATGCCATTGATCTGCTGCGTGATCTTGCTCTGTATTCCAGCCATTCCATTGTTCGATCTGCTGCGTAGTCTGTAGTCTTGTTCTGCACTCCAGCAACCGCAATTAACTGACAGGCCCTGTTTGCTTGGAACTCGCAGGAAACTGACCGACTCGAATACCTTATTCCAAAGAAAACGTCCCTCCGGCACCGCCTCCCCACTGGCGATGCTGGCTTCACCGAGTTCGTAAGCACGCTGCTAGAGACGAACCCCGAAAAGAGGCCTTCTGCTGAGGAAGCCCTCAGGCATCCTTGGTTAAAATTTCCTTACGAACCTTTCAACTGACAAGAAGGTATGACCAGGGCAAGAAAGGCTTAGAACGAAGTCACACATTAAGCTCATGAATGAGTTGATCACAGCATAGTCGGCTCCAAAGAGTCGAAATAAGGAAGTGTTTGACAGGTTAGCATGGACGCCCAGTCCGGTAACGAGAGCCAGCAAGGCATGAGTTTGTTGTGCGCCTGCCGTTTTGTACCATATAGTTGGTTCCTGGTCCTTAAATGTCCACCTTTTGAAACAATGACCGATCAAATGATCCTACTAAGTTTCGTGATCTTGTAGACATTTTATGTGTCTCCGACATGGTCTGCATACTGGCCGCATTGCATGGTCCACGCCTGTATGCATACGCGAAAAATAAAGAAGCTATATCCAGTGATTGTCGACATATATGTGTACACATGTTCTAATATCTTATTCAGGATATTGCCTGACACACATGTGGCCGCTATTTTGAGCTGACGGTGAAATGCAATCGCATTAACCTGGTCGACATTCTTGCTGTTGGACATGATGCTCCAAGTCTTCGAGAGCAAAGTACAGTCACAGGCTGGGGCCATGATCGATGCATTTGAATACGAAATTAATCTTTTGCAAGTAGGTTTGGGCATCGTGTCAAAACACCTGTGCAGTGGCGTCCGGACCTCCGGTTTTCCGAATTTTCTTGACGGGGCTGGTGGCCGGTTCTCGGAGCTCCCTGGCGAAGAGTCGAGGTGGCTGGTGGTCGGTGCCCGGCTGAGCATTTTCGACAGCTTTTAAAACCCACAAAAATGTCGGAAAGTCTGCCTATAGATACTGCTCAACCTCGTGTACGTGTACCATACGGGTTGCCAGCTCCCTGCGAGAAGCCGCATGGGAGAGGCCACACCAACCGACCGGTCTGGAACGAAATGGTCAAACGGGAAGTTTTGTCCTCCATTGAAGGGTCCGGCTGCATATGTAATCGGGTTATTGCCTTATACGGCTCTGAGTCGCACACGAGCCCTTTGCAAGTAGACTGGTTCGAATTCTAAACCTGGAGTGATTGATTGCGCGCGCAGGCCCCACCCTCGTATATCTATCTAATCCCAATTTCTTCTGCGCCGCGGCTTGGGTACCCCTGGTGGCCGGTTTTGTCTGTATCTTTTTCTGCTCGCACCCCCCTGGTGGCCGGGTTTTTTTTCGGAGGTCCGGACGCCCTTGCAAAAGTGTTTTGACACGATGCCTTGCTCACATGATTGAGATCAGATTCTTAGTTTTCCTTCTTCATGATCCGAGGCCAAGCGAAGTCAAGGTGCCCAAAATGAGGCAATCTATACCGTAGTCCAACGTGATCATTCCGAATGAATTTTTCGAGTAATATTCTCCAACAATCCGACCACGCATGCCGAATTATTTATGCGGATTCCGACCAGAATCCGAATGCCCTATGTTCACACTTGAAGAAGCATTTTAGGGCTGATCTGAGCAATTTTCCGCCTTCCGATGACCAATTTTAATTTACGTAACCTTTCCGAATTTCCGGTTTCCGAACGGAAAATCTGAATTTCTGACTTTCCGAATGCAAATAATTATTTATTTATTCGGATTCATTACCTTGGACTACGGTAGTTCATGGATGAAGCCGGTCGTTGTACATAACCAAAGTGCACTCGCCTGATGCACTAGTATGAGCATTTGATCTTTTATGTGTGCCGTCCAAGTACTAAGCTGCGATACAACCACTCCATTTGCATACCAAGTGTGGAGCTGTTCGAGATCCCTGTATTTCATGCACTCCCAAGCACTACCACCCCGATGCACACTTCCTCTGCCAGTCAAAACCAGTTTCTGAAAAGCTTCTCGAAAAGTGGAACTGATGCACAGTTCTAGATTGCAAGCAAAATCTTTTGAGACTTTTACTTTCCAATTCATGCCAGGGAATTTGACAAGGAGATGAACTGCTTTAAGAACCTATTGTTGCCCTGCAATTTGACTTTTATACTGTGGAAAGCGAGCCAAGAAAGTGTCCTGCAAAGCAGACCCATAAACTGTCTTCCTCAACATTTCTGAAAGGTGAAATACCACCAGGTAAGTGGAAGACCTCAAACATACAATCGCTAACTTACAAACACAAACATCTTCTTGGCATTGCAAGTATCAACTCGTTCTCAAGCCTCGACAGTGATTGCGTGCTGAGGACTTACGCTGACGTAGCTGCATGATGGAATGACAGCCATGTTCCCCAACTTTGCAAACTCAAATGCCGCCTTGCTGAGTTCCGCTGCAGCTCCCTGGCCACGCCCTTCAGGTGGAACATATGTGTGATACAGATCTAGTGCCTTTTGTTGCCCATGCTGGATTACAGCATACTCGATGTATGCAAGGATTCCTGTGCCATTACTAACATCAAGAACAAACCTGTGCCGGTCAGGCTCATGTAGAACAGGAGTGGCATTCATCGGCGCTGTCATTATGTATACGTACCAAAGCACCAAAGCACCAAAGCACCAACGCATGAGCTTGCAGGACTGCAGATGCTCAAAAAGCACCCAACTCGTCACGCCATTGGCATTGCCTGCACATTCCTGCGACGGTCACCAGACTCACCACCTTAGGCTTCGGTCCCTGCAATGCCTGCATCAGTGCATGCCGCAGCTTGCCGCCTTCTTCCACATGAGTGAGTAAGGTACAAAAAAATGGTACATGCCAGGTCAACGTGATCTTCCGAAAAGCAACCATGTCAAGAACCGGGTTGTTGATGAGTAGTGGAAGCTTGCCTTGCGCGCCCGGTGAAAGCTGAAAGGGCGACCAGCAGTACACATTGCGTACCAGCAAAGAGCCGCGGGCGGCGGGCATGAGTCTGCATATGACTCTCGAGTCTGAGTCTGCCGAGTTGACTGCGGCGAAACGCAGCTCTCTGAGTCTGGGTTGCACACGACTCGCAGAACAGGAATCAGGGATGGACTGCGAACTGGCAGGGAGGGGTCACCATGAAGGCGCGGGGTCCCTGCAGGCGCACGGATATTTGTGCTGATTATATGCGCCTGTAGATCCAGGGGGATGCCAGAAAAGATGCAAAATTGGGCAGTCGGTAGTTCAGGAAGAAGCGTTTGCTGCCGTTCTCGACAAGTTGCATCATAAGAAGCATTTTTGGTTTGAACAAGCATTAAAGAGGATGCATAGATATTTTGACCCATCAGAGGACGTCCCTCTGTAGTTCACAGTGTGGGTAACGGATTGAAGGAAAGCGGGCAGACTGCCAAGGATGTTGGAGTGTTAGGCAGGTTCGGCAGCGTTCCCTGCAAGGGGTGTAGGCTCGCTGTTAAAGAGTCAGCCAAGAAGTCTGGGAAGGGGTACTGCTGACCATCCATGGGATTCTAGGAGCGATTGTTCTACGACGGAGCGGCCTTGACAAGCAAGCAGACTGATTCAGCAAAGGTTGCTGGGTGTTCTGCAAGGAGGGGAAACGTGGGCAAGAACAAATCGAGGGATGGAACCTCGCATAGGAAATAAGTACAGGCTAGGGAGGAAAATTGGGAGCGGGTCCTTTGGGGAGATATATTTGGGTACGGAGAATTCCAAAGCATTCCTTCAGTTCCTTGAAAGGAGGCTATGCCTTTCCCTATTTATTGCATAGCAGTCGCAAAAGAGCAGCGTCCGCATCTGCATCCAAGGTTTTACTTCCATTTTCGTGTTGTTCACACACAACGGATCCTGCTTTACCATCACTTGAGAGGGTCCTTGGGATTGTGCTCAAGACTTGCCCCTTTTGGAACCCTGATCGAGTGTCCCCTGTTTTTCTTGCTTATCTTCGCTTTGAATTTGTTGCAGGGACCAACATTCAGACAAATGAGGAGGTCGGAATCAAATTGGTAAGGTTCTCTCTATTTGGAAGTGCGGTCTTGTCAGCGTCACTGCTGAAGTCTGGCTGTGTTTGTTTCAGGGGGCCTCCAAGTGCCCTATGTTCTGCTCGAAAATACTTGTATGCAGTCTTTGACGCCATATACTGGCTTTTGAAGAAGAGGCAAAAGTTGCCAACCTGGTTTGTTTGGTGCTGCAGGAGTCCGTGAAGACAAAGCATCCTCAACTTCTCTATGAGTCCAAGCTCTACAGAATCCTGCAAGGTGGAAGTGAGTTGGTGAACCTCGTCTTTGGGCTGGCAGTTGAATATGTCCTGCAACCCCGCTTTTGGTTGTGAGGGCCCTTTCCTGTCGGTCTTTGGGTTGCTGCTTTGGGTTGCTGCAAGTTGCAAGGAGTAAGCCCTGTGCCCTGCAACGCTCTGCAGGGTAATTGATACACTTTTGTTGCAGCTCTCTGGGCAGTTTCCTGCAGGTCCTCCGATTTGTTATGTCAGGGGTGCTCCTTCTCGGCTTCTTAGGTGCCTGCTTCTCTTTTGCAGCGGGAATTCCTAACATCCGATGGTTCGGAGTAGAGGGGGATTACAATGTGATGGTGCTGGACCTGCTGGGCCCCAGCTTGGAGGACCTGTTCAACTTTTGCAGCCGCAAGTTCTCCCTCAAGACTGTCCTTATGCTGGCCGACCAGCTTGTGAGCATCCCAGTCATTGCTGCTGCTCGAGCAAGTGCACGCAAAGGATTCAAAAGTGGCTCCTGAGCTTGCCTCCTTGTAGGGTTGTCCTGTTTTCGTTTGTCCTAAGAGGAATGTACGATCCGATGAACCAATTCTGACGTACACCGACGCAGCTAGAGCGGGCTAAGCAGTTATCCACATCATGAACGCCTGAGTATTATAAACTCCTGAAGCAGGGTCTAAATAACTCCTCAGATGGTGCCTGACGTTGCAAAACGGCTGTCCAGTCAATGCTGCAAGGCTGGGGGACGGCTTTTGTTGACAGGAGGCTGCCAAGCGCCTAGTAGCATTGTAAAGGCTTGGCTGCACGGCACCCTCATTTAGAACATTGCTCAGCTCCTGCTCTGTAAAAGCTGTAAATCTCCACTGCTTTGCTTTGTTAAGCTACAGTTGCGGCATTTGTAAGCAAGGCAGTAGGTTAAGAAGGCAGCCTTTCGGGGCAACAGGTCAGCGGCAAGCAGAGTATGCAGACGGAATCTTTGACACTCCTCATACGCGGCTTGCAGATCAACCGCATTGAGTATGTTCACTCCAAGAGCTTCCTGCACCGTGACATCAAGCCAGACAACTTCTTGATGGGGCTGGGGAGGAGGGCGAACCAGGTGTACATAATTGACTTTGGACTGGCAAAGAAGTACAGGGATCCCACCACACACCAGCACATCCCCTACAGAGAGAACAAGAATCTCACAGGGACCGCGCGGTATGCGAGCATCAACACGCATCTGGGAATTGGTGAGTTGTCCATTTTAGAATTGCTGATCCTGCTCAGTGTGCTTGAAGCTGTACCACAGTGGTTGGAGCCAGACCTTCATGCTCCACTTTCTTGTCAAGTTTCTTGCAAAGTTTGAGGGGTGGAAGTGTGGAGCGGGCAGCTTTTAGGGTTCCACCTCACTGCCCCAACACTGTATCTGACCGTTGCCTTTATTACGTGCAGAGCAAAGTCGGAGGGACGATCTGGAGTCGTTGGGATATGTGCTGATGTACTTCCTGCGAGGAAGGTGAGAGGCTGCAAGCTGCAACCTGTTAGAGGGGGGCCTGGGGGATCGCTGAAGCTTTCGCGAGCCGGTGTCAGTGACCATCAACCGGGCTGAACGCTGGTTAAGTGTCGGCTTGTTGACAGAGACAGTTCATTATTATTTGTGGTGTTCGTCTATGCCTGGCAAGGTGAGGGCTACCTTGCAGTAGGGCCCTGTGGTGCATAGATCGGTCATGCTTGCTGTTTTGACCATTGATTGTTTGGTTCTGCAGCCTGCCGTGGCAGGGCCTCAAGGCAGGGACGAAGAAGCAGAAGTACGAGAAGATTAGCGAGAAGAAGATGTCGACACCGATCGAGGTCCTCTGCAAGAATTACCCCTCTGAATTCGCCTCCTACTTCCACTTCTGTCGGCGCCTCCGGTTCGACGACAAACCTGACTATGCCTACCTCAAGAGGCTGTTCAGGGACTTGTTTATCCGGGAAGGTGCGCAAGTGGTGTCTCCGCAGGGCCCTTTCTATTCCCTCTTGTTCTGAGAAAGTATCCGCCAGTTGTATGTTGCCGCACGTATTTCCAATGATTCTATGTCGTCTCCCCTCTTTGCTTATGACCTGCAATAAAAGGAGCATCAACCTTTCTGAAAGACCCATGCAGGGAGTTCTGTCGTACCTCAGGCTGCTGCGGTCACCTGATATTTGACCTCCTGCGTCAAGAGGCGCTATTTTCAGCTTGCTCATCAGCATCGTCTCTTTTTGCAGGTTACCAATTTGACTATGTCTTTGACTGGACAATTCTGAAGTACCAGCAGTCGCAGATCGGGGCAGGCCCGTCCGCAGGGAGAACCTTGGTGAGTCTACTGCGGTGTAATCCTCCTGCGTCGGACCTTTCGGCGTCTGAATCTAAAAACCTGCGCCTCCATTGCATCAGGTGTGTGTCCCAATTCCCGTTGTGCACTATATTTTGTCCTTGTATCCTAACGTGCATGATTTCTTGGCGCAGGGGGCTGGAGCGGGAGCTGCAGGAACAAGCAGTGCGGCGGTGCAGGGTGGGGGGCAAACAGATCGAGCAGGTAACGCCGCGACCAGCCTGTTGGAAGTTCCTGGCTTGCTGCAGGCTTGTTGTAACGTTGTGTTGTAGTTGCTGGTCTCAGATAGGACAAATTTTTCAACATTAGTATCCCACGAGATGCTTTCAAAGTCAGTGTTGCTCAAAAAGAAAGGCGCAGATTTTTGAGTCATCAAAAGTGACAGGATGCAGAGAGCCAAAGTGCTCAAAGCTGCATCCGTCAGGTAGTCAAGTGGGCCTACTGGCGTAGTTGCTGACACCGCTGTGCTTGCTGCTCTCTGCAGGAGGGACCAGCACTCCTGTGAACGCTGGGGATACGCCTGAGGGCACGAGGAGGCGAATGGCGAGCGCCATTGATGCCACCAAGCCGAGGACGAGCAATGATGAAACCAAGGAGGTGAGCTGTTCCTCCTTCACCTGGCAGAGCACGCTTTATGCAGACTCCTCGAGGTTGGAAGATTGAACCTGCTAAGTACGTTCCACTGCACGGCGCTCTTTTTCTTCTGTTCTGTAAAGGTTTAGTCATCAACCTTTGTAAGAGATATATGTCTCTTAAGGTGAAGAGTAGGGCAGTCTGCCCGTGCGCTGGGCCTTTCCGACGTGTTTCGCCAGCTTATTCTGTTTCTGCGTTGGTGTGCAGGAGCAGGAGCGGTTGCACAGCAGTGCGTTTGCGCGCGCTGGCAGTGCTTCCAAGCGGGCCGTGGCGGGGACAACGCGGGTGGGTAGCTCAGCTGCAGCTGCGGCGGCGGCAGACGCCACTGCCCTGACAAACAAGATGGGCCCCATTAGTCTGAGCCGCACTTCTGTCCAGCGGCCATCAGGCGTATCTGGGTCAGAGCCAAAGAAGCCAGTCCATTCGCGTCCTTTTTCTTAGAATGGGGCGCGAGGATGCATGTAAGTTCTGGAATCGGTTTCGCTTTGGTTTCTTCAAGTCAGCCCTTTTTGAAATCCGTCGCCGTTGCGCCTTCTTGTTATGTGAGTGTTGTGAACAACGATTCAGAGCACATTCAGTTTACAAAGGGCACAAGCATGTATTGCACCTTGTCTGCATGCTTTGTTACACTCAGAAAGTGACGTCTCTTATTCGTGGTTCCAGGCAGCATTGCGGCGGTTGGCCGTGTGTGGATCCAAGGATGAGGTAGAAGCCCCTCAAGGGTGAGGCAGAACCAGGCGCGCTGCTTTTGCTTGTGGCGTGTCCAAAGTCGGCGCTTCAAGGTGGACTTTTGATACATGCTCCGTCCATGTAAATAGTGCTTACTTTGTCGAAGATTAACGAACTTGAAAATGTCCCCCGACCTTGGATCACTTTGCCATGGCTGCCTCAATCGACAGTGGTCTGAAAGCATAGGCTTGGCAACGTGATCGCTGCGCAACTGCCTACGGTCTGGCATGTTCATGCTTTGTACTCCTGTTGGCGCCAAACTTTCCTTGGGGTTCCAACTTCTCTACCCGATCTTGAGTCGTACGATGCCTTTTTTTGATGATCGGACGGTTTTAAGATCAGAAACTAGGCTGGGAACATTTGCAATGGATGGCATCTTCGACGCAAACATTCTGTGCAGTCTCGTCTACTATTCATTGCATCGTGCATCCAAACCTGTGGCATCCAAGAATGCCACGTAGTTGCACCTTGCAAAACTCCCTGCACTGTTGCATAAGCTACAGTGGCTATGATTATGGCCAGACGGCTTCGATCAAATTCAACTCCTTCTGAGTACATTGTATTTCGAGGCAGATCCTGATTTTGTATATTGTTGATTCATAAGTTATGGTGCGTATTGATTTTCAGTTTCTGGGCGCACATACACGCGCGCAAGAGTCCAAAGATTAGCTAGTTCAAATGCAGTGAGCCTTGCCGCTGGGCCAATCCATAGGCTGGCACCTGCCAGGCTGCCACCATTTCGTAGTATGCATAGGACTAGCAACCGTAAGCAATTATTCAATAACAATGACGTTCTCTTTTCAAAACGCCGTAGCCACATGGGCCATAGGCTTCCATGGCATGTACATGGGAATCAATGTTTGAGTTGCGGACGCCTAGATGCAATAATACAAACAGAAGGCGTTGGCCAAGCTGCCAGAGCCTGAGGAGTTCGCTATTAGATTGAAATACCGGTACACCAAAAGTTCATTGGCGAAATCCCTTGGCGGTATCGAAGGTACTAGGTACCGGTAGTTTAGGTACCTACCTAGCTACTTCCTATAGGAAGATTCACTGAAGATATTGCACGGATACGGGTAAGGCCGTACCAACAGGTAGTAGGTACCTGCTGATTCCGGTAGGTACTGATACCAGGTACTGACTCCCGCTGCCTGGGAGTGATAGGGAACCGTGCATGGGGGGTTGGGGCAGGTTGGGGTTTTGAATCAAGGTTTGTGCCCATCTGTTGCATCCAACTTCCACACCCAACTTGCAAGGTCCGCTTCAGAATCCAGCTCAACTGGCGTCACCCGGGCCGATGACCATGAGATTCAGATCTGGGGATTCTGGGTGGAGGCTTATGAGCCGCTCAGATGACAACGACGGCACAGATTTATCCACATGGGCACGAACAGTGCGACGGCCAACCAGTATCTGCAGAAAATCATGCTGGAAGGCCGAGTGATGTAACTGTGGTACGTACCGCAGGAAGGTCGTCCCGGCCTAATCTGTCAAGCGTACACACGTGTCATCTTTTCGGGTACAAACAATAATATCTCAACCGACCACTTTCCGGGAAAAATGGATGATATTTTGAAGGTAACACCAACCGGTTGAACTCTTCCGGCCCGTCTGTACGAAGACGTACCGCGGTCCGACTTAGTGCCGGTAGGGACCGCGTTGTGTACTCAATCCCAACACCAACAACTGTGGGTGAAGGACAACGGGTTTGGGGGCAAACCCGTCCACCTCGAGGAGATCAGCAGATCAGCCTCTGTGAGGCAAAACGTACAAAGTTTGCGAATAGAATTTGGGAGAATGGGCTGCGGACGGTACCGGGCCAGAAATGGCAGCGTACGGTATGCACCGTCGCTGCTCGTCGCGGTACCTAGCCCTGGCTACCGCCGAAGCAACCGGGCAGTCTTAGTGACTTTAGGGTTAAGTCAGAAAGCAGTGACGGTGTGTTAGGGTTACGCCACTTCCCTGTGACGGTTTGTTAGGGTTAAGTTCCTTCTCTGTGACTGCTCTACGATTAGGGTTCTTACAAACGGTTAAGCCCAGTGTTTCCCCTGCCGGCCCACTCTCTGGTAAAATGGCCGGCAATGGTCAAACCGGGCCGGCAATGGGGGCCGGCCTCCGGCCCATCCGGCCGGCATTGCCGGGCACGGGCCGCCGGCAATGAAAGTTCATAGCTGGCCCTGTCATCGTATTCCGTGTGTAAAACGATCAGGATTTCAGGAGATTTAAAGGTTATTGTCGAAAAAAACCTTCCCTCGGGGACTTCTGGCCAGCAGTATCCCTCAATGATCCCTTCGGTAGGACAGGTAGGAAGTTGGTCGATAATTTTACACGTAGATAAGCTAGAGACTTATGAAAGTATTGTAAAGTCGAATATATGGGGTGCGCGCGCGCGGAAATTCCACATATTTTGCCGGGACTTGGGCCGGCAATGGCGACCTCGGCCCGGCCCAACGGGCCGGCAAACTCAGGCCCCGGCCGGCCCGGCGGCCAGCAATTAAAATAATTAGGGGAAACACTGGTTAAGCCACTGTCCATAGGATTTTGGTATAATTACAGGTCCACCCGAGCACTTCTTGGTGTCCGAACAGGGTGTCCGCGTCCGATTCTCCCAAATTCTATTCGCAAACTTTGTGCCTCTTGCCTCAGTGAGGCCGTGCAAAACACACTGACGACCGCAGGGCTGGTGAGCAGAGCCAGTGGCAGAGGGGAGAACCACCACTGGCTTTCATGATCTCTAAGTTTGAAGAAGGCTGTTCACTGGTTCCCTGAAGCTCCGTTTCCTAGATCTGGGGTTGGTTGTCCCGTTTGACAAATCTGGTGATCCGTGCTCAGCTTTTTAGCTTGTCTTTCAGGTGTGCAGGCAGCTTTGCGAAGGCGCTTGCCAGCATGGCCGCCGCCGCCGTGCACTCATGCGCCACCTCGCGCCTGTTTGCCCCGCGCCTGCCCCTTGCGCAGCAGCGCGCGCAGCCCTCTGTTAGTGGCTCTCCCCTGCCGCAGGGTGCTTTCCATGGGCGCGAGCGCTGTTCTGCTGACTCTGCTGCGCCCTGCAGCTCGCGGAGGCCTGAAAAGCTGAGGGGAGATTTCTTGGGGGGTAGGCCCGTGTGTTTGGCGGAGGCTCGGCAAGCCCCCCGGCAGCGGTCAGGGGGGGTTGTGTGCTCGGGAGAGCCTGTAGGGACGAGTGCAGTAGCAGAGCTGCCAGGGAGCAGAATATGGATGTCGGACGTCGTTGCTCGGCCAAAGCGGAACTACTTCTTGGACCGGCAGTGGACGTCAAAGGATCTGATTTACGCAGGATTTATGCTGTTCATGCACGGGGCATGCCTGCTGGCGCCCTTCACCTTCTCTTGGGACGCCTTTGCCGTCTTTACCGGGCTGTACTTCATCACGGGGTGCCTAGGGATTACGCTCTCCTTCCACCGCAACCTGTCCCACAAATCCTTCAAGCTTCCCAAGCCCCTTGAATATCTCTTTGCCTATTGCGGGATCCAGGCGGTGCAGGTAAGCGCATGTCAGATCTTGGAAAAGAGGGGCCAGCATTGTTTGCGGCGCCACCTTCTGTGGGTGCTTACTACTGGGGTCTAGTGTATGCACTCTGGTGCTGCAGTTAACAGCTGCAACGCTGCTCTTATGCTGCTTCTTTTGTACTTAGATCAATAGTGGATGCCGAATGTGTTTGCAAATATTCCTGGTATGAAGAAAGCCGATTTTGGGGCCAAGGTTTCCATTTTGCCACTATTAGGTCTGTCTTTCATTTCCTGTCCTTTTTCACATCTCGTAATCAGTCACTTTCTGAAAGATCCCAATCTGCTCTCCGCTTTCGCGGACTCGTTTGTCCCCATGCCAGAGCTATTAATTGAGCGGTTTGCCACATTTTCTGCAGGGGGACCCAATTGAGTGGGTGAGCAGCCACCGGTACCACCACATTCACTGCGACACTGAAAACGACCCCCACACGCCCAAGGAAGGCTTCTGGCACTCCCATATGGGATGGCTCCTTGACGACCAAGCCACACAGGACAGGGTAAGCGCTGCAGAAAAGAGTCTGCTTCAGCAGTGCTTGCAGCAGAGCGGTTTGCCAATATCTGCAGCTGTGCAGAGCGGCCTTGCCGCTATGTGTTGAGGGGGCCACTTTGTTGATGCCAAACTCACTGCTTTTGGGGCACTTGAAACATGCGCGCTCAAAGTCAGTTTTTGCACTTCTTCTTCCCTCAAAGACCCAATGTTTGATTGCTCAAGAAGCCTCCTGTGGTCACCCTGACCCGAGCATTTTCCACCGCAGAAGCAGCAGCTCAAAAAAGTTATGTGTCTCTGTGGCAGGTCGGGAAGCGCACCAACGTCTCCGACATGGAGAATGACAAATTCTACAAGTTTATCCAGAAGACCTACCCGCTGCACCCTCTAGCTGCTGCAGTGGCGCTCTTTGCCTGCGGGGGGCTGCCATACCTGGTTTGGGGTATGGTGAGGCCATACGGACCGATAAAAGCTTTCTATCGGTGGTGTCGGCCATGGGTGTGACAAATTAGTTTACAGTTGGGAGCAATGTCTGATCCTATCACTTGATTGGACTCATTGGTGACAACAGCCTCGGCTGGATAGGGTTCCAGGACTATGTTGCAGACCTTAAAGTTCTTCTTGGATTCTGTCGGTTGGTGGGGCCCGCCAAGCATGTGTAAGGTCGGGTGCTGTCTATCAAGAATACTCTGTGGCATTATGGTGGCTATTTGTGCCCCCTTCGCATGCATGCGGGAGATGAGTGTTAAAAAGTTCTAATCCCACATTTTGGTGGTGGTGGTGGAGACTGGCTCAACGTGGTCACATTTGGTGAAGAGACCCAGGTCTTGCGTGCGTGAACGGCGGTGTACCCAAAGTGTCTCGCAGCAAACCGCAATTTTTGGCGCACTGGTTTACCGACATACCTGTTGGCTGACCGCTGTGCACTGATTTGTTTGCAGGCTGTGCGCGTGGTGTGGGTGTATCACATCACCTGGTTTGTTAACTCGGCGTCCCACGTGTGGGGCACGCAATCGTGGAACACGGGGGACCTGTCGCGTAACAACTGGTGAGCTAGCACACACTGCGTAGAGCTTGTCAAACCGGAATTCCTGCTGCAATCCGTCGGTCATCCTTGATTGCATGGTTCAGTCGGTCTTTGACCTGGCACTACTTATAACAACTGGAAAGTCCACCACCAAGATAATACTCAATATTCAAGGCTAGAGTCCACCATTTAACGCTTCTCTTCTGGAGTTCAGATTCAGCTGGTTGCTATTTCGGCAGGGCAGGTTTTCTGCCGCTACTGGGACTGAGCACTGTGGCCATGCCTGGAGTTGCTGCGGGGCGTTCTCAGCTGTGTTCTTGCTGAAAGAGCTAGTGCAGGGTCGTCTCAATCACTTCAGTTGTTGCTGACACTTAAACTCTGGCTTCAGGTGGGTTGCGCTGCTGGCGTTTGGGGAGGGCTGGCACAACAACCACCATGCTTTCGAGTACTCTGCGCGGCATGGCCTGCAGTGGTGGCAGTTCGACCCGACCTGGTACATCATCCTGGCCATGGAGAAGCTGGGCCTTGCCACCAAGGTCAAGCTGCCGCGGGCCGACCACATGGCTCGCCTGGCGCCTGTTCAGCCGGCCGCGTAGGTGTCGTGTTGCCCTAGGTGTACCATAATCACCCCTAAGTCAGCCCCGGGGGGCAGAACTGTGACGAGAAAACACATCTGGGGAGCGGAGGCCCCGGAGTTGCGGGAGAGTTGTAAGAGCGATTGCGCTCTGCTTTCATTTTTGGGGGAGAGTTAACGAGCGGGCCTGAGTTGAGCCTGCTCGCATCGCAAAGGTTCCGGCATGATGGGCATTGTCGAAGGCGTCTGATTGGAGAGCATCTCGGAGATTGCTTTGCAAGGGCGTAGATAGATACGGCCAGTCGTTCGAGTATTGGTGGTCGCTTGCTCGAGTTGTCCGGTTCTCAGGTGTCGGTGCAACGCTGTAGTCTCACGCAAATTGCGTGCTTTCTTAGTGCTAAGATGGCAGGTCCTTGAGGAGGCAGATTGACATCTCTTATAAGGAGGTTTGCTTGAGGGGCGGGGGCCAGAGCAAGCTGGCCCCACATTGGTCTTGTTAACCTGAGTTGCTTATTTAGTAGAGCTAGCTAGACTGAAGTATTCTTCAGGGACTTGACAGTCTTCATTTGAACCGTTCTCAATGCTCTTTTTAGAGGGATTCAATGTTCATGCGGTAGTACCGTAATAAATCACCTTCTTGTGTGCTGCCAAATCATGGGCTCGTTGAACTATGGAACTCTAGCTCAAGAGTGCATGCATCCTCATAATTTTATTCCACAATTACCATTTTTCAAAGAAACCGCGCCTGAGCGAATCGGCTTTTTGAGCGCAGGCTTTGGATCGAGTCATCCAGTGAGTCAACCTCTCTTACAGTATTTGCATCATATTGTGCATGATTACGTCGTTTTTGAAACCTTTCAATCCGTACGTATATGCTGCGGCTGGTTGTGCCACCGAGCAGATCGATGTAAGTCATAGCGGACGGAAGTTGCACCGTATGTAAAAGGCTCAACCGTCCAAATGGCATCTGACAATGAAACATGCGCATCCTTGGGAGGGTAGCTAGGCGTTCAAAACTCAACATTTATCCGGCCATGTATGCCACATGGAACTGAGCCCATGTGTGGCTACGGCGACGGTTTGAAAAGAGAACATTATTCCAAATATCAAATCTAAGTGAGAGTTCCATTATGGTGGCCTCGAACTTGCCTGAAATATGAGATCGTTCCGACACATGCAAACATTCTAATTGCGGCAATTCGAGTAAGAGCCTAGGCATGACCATGTATATAGTGCAACTTACCGTCGATCTGACGTCGTCGCTGCATGTTCAACTTATTTGTATGTGTCAGCCATGGCTGCGGGCGCCGCAGGGCAAGTCGGAATACTGCGTACCCTTTTATAACTTCAAGTAATATAGACGTCTGCCCTGCACGCGCGCGGCCTAGCTCGAGTGGGATCACAGGCACTATATTGAAAGCCCACATGATGGCCGCTTACGTAGCTAGCTAACAGGCGCCCGGTCCGAATTTTGCCGGAAACATGCAATATACTATAGTTCAATCTAGCCTGAGCTCAACAAACGCCATTGGCGGCAAGCTAGGTCAACGGCGGCGGCCGGGCCACTCACTTGCATGCATTATGGTCTCTTTTCAGCTCATCTTGTATATAAGTCAAGCGCACGCCCATTCGTTGAAGTAACCGAATGAGCGTTACCTCTTCCACGGCCTGGGCCGGATGGTGCAGTAGCAAACGAGAAGTGTAATCGTCCGTACCTCAGATTTGCTCACAATGCCACATTCAGAAATGTTGCAGACAGCGATTGGCGATGCAATCTCATGCGGGATCCGTACTCAGGTTGAGCGCAAAAGTCGTTGATCGGCTGCTCAAATTGCCGTCAAAGAGACGATTGAAGCAAGATACCTCCACCGCAATCCACAGGTGATGGTGACTTTGCACACTGCTTGGAGGCGCAAAACAATGACGTTGAGATGGTTTCGATTTCGATTTCACATTGCACGTCAGGCCTTGGCCTGGTTTCTAGCTGACTGCCGTATACTGCGTGCGAGCGCCTGCGCGTCCGGCGGCAGGGCGTTGACTTCCGCTTCCGAGATGCTGAGCAGGCGCGTGTAGATGGCCACCATGTTGGGGGGCAGGTTCTGCACAGGAGCGGAACTTGGCATGAGCCCAAGAGTGAGCTGAAGTGCTAAACGAACAACGGCGACTTGCGACGAGCGAAAAATCTTCGCAAACAACCGCGCTTCCGGACAGTGGTGCAAAGAGTCACCGCAAGTTTCCGGCAGGAGAGGCTTACCGGGGGGATAGGCAGCGCTTGCTGCACGGGGGTATACCCCGCCTGCGACAGCTGTTGCGCTGGCACGGGAGGAGGCGGCAAACTCACTGCGCCAACGCCGCCGTGCATGGTCTGCGGCCGTTGAGACGGCAGCGGGGGGGCGACTCCAACGGTTGGGAGGGGAGGGTTTGCTGGCGGAAGGGGGGGGGCTGTGGCGCCTGCTGGGGCACGGGCTGAGGCGGGTAGGGGGGGAGGGGAGCGGGCGCGACCGGGTATAGCTGCAGTGGAACGGGATGCAAGACAAGCAGGATGAGATTGATAAAAGCGACCGGCAAAGAACCTATTGTCATTCTTTTGGAATTTCAAGCGCAAGCTGGCCGATCCGGGGTCTGTGTCAATCAACGATCACTTGCCCGCGATAAATCAGCAACGACCAACAATCAAAGATCAAGGGTAGTGGAACCCTCCTTCATCATTACCCGGAGTGCAACCAAGCAGAGTATCAGTGGGGTCCATGCTCCGCCGTATACATCAGCCTCAGCAAACGAACGTCGACATTTGCTGAAGCTATAATGCGGCCAGCTCACCTGTTGCGGCGGCTGCGGCTGCGCATGGGCGGGGGGTGGGCCGGGGGGCAGAGCCGGGCCCCGCACCACCCCCCTTGGGGCGGTCCGGGGGGCAGAGGAGGAGTGGGGGGCGCCCACTGAGTGGCGACAGGGGCTGGGCCAGGGGGGGGCCCAGGAGGGGGCCGAGGGCCGGGGGGCTGGAGGGGGGGGTACGCGGGGAGGGGAGGCTGCGAGGCGATGGACGTGGGGGGGACAGGCCCGGGGTCCGGGAGGGAGGGGGGGAGTGGGTGCCGGTGGG